GAGACCATGTCACTGTTATAGACCATAACACTGCTAGAGACCATGTCACTGTTATAGACCTTAACACTGCTATAGACCATGTCACTGTTATAGACCATAACACTGCTATAGACCATGTCACTGTTATAGACCATAACACTGCTATAGACCATAACACTACTAGAGACCATGACACTGTTATAGACCTTAACACTGCTATAGACCATGTCACTGTTATAGACCTTAACACTACTAGAGACCATGTCACTGTTATAGACCATAACACTGCTAGAGACCATGTCACTGTTATAGACCTTAACACTGCTATAGACCATGTCACTGTTATAGACCATAACACTACTAGAGACCATGTCACTGTTATAGACCATAACACTACTAGAGACCATGTCACTGTTACAGACCTTAACACTGCTATAGACCATGTCACTGTTATAGACCATAACACTACTAGAGACCATGACACTGTTATAGACCTTAACACTGCTATAGACCATGTCACTGTTATAGACCATAACACTACTAGAGATCATGACACTGTTATAGACCTTAACACTACTAGAGACCATGACACTGTAATAGACCTTAACACTACTAGAGACCATGACACTATTATAGACCATGTCACTGTTATAGACCTTAACACTACTAGAAACCATGACACTGCTGTAGACCTTAACACTACTAGAGACCATGTCACTGGTATAGACCATAACACTGCTATAGACCATAACACTACTAGAGACCATGACACTGTTATAGACCTTAACACTGCTATAGACCATGTCACTGTTATAGACCATAACACTACTAGAGATCATGACACTGTTATAGACCTTAACACTGCTATAGACCATGTCACTGTTATAGACCTTAACACTACTAGAGACCATGTCACTGTTATAGACCTTAACACTACTAGAGACCATGTCACTGTTATAGACCTTAACACTGCTAGAGACCATGACACTGTTATAGACCTTAACACTGTTATAGACCATGTCACTGGTATAGACCATATCACTGTTATAGACCATGTCACTGGTATAGACCTTAACACTGTTATAGACCATAACACTACAGACCATGTCACTGTTATAGACCATAACACTACTAAAGACCATGTCACTGTTATAGACCTTAACACTACTAGAGACCATGACACTGTTATAGACCTTAACACTGCTATAGACCATAACACTGTTATAGACCTTAACACTACTAGAGACCATGTCACTGTTATAGACCTTAACACTACTAGAGACCATGTCACTGTTATAGACCTTAACACTGCTATAGACCATGTCCCTGCTAGAGGCCATGTCACTGCTTCAGACCATGACATTGTGCAATTCGGCTACCTAGAAATTTCCTCAAACTATAAAATAAATTACGTAAACTTAGCAGCACATATTATGTTTGTGTACGGACTCCAGAGATAAGGTAAGACTCAAGGCAAAACTCTCTTTAAAACGAGTCAGACTCACTTTCTGGCTTCCTGGGTAAAATGACTCACCGACATTATGATTAGAACAAGAGTTGAGATGGGTGACGACAAAGCCTTTGCAGCACCAACTTATTGGAACAACCTTGCTTCCCTCCATTAACATTGTAAATATTCCTTTAAAAAAATATCCTGAAGCAGATTTGGTGCTGCGTACAGACATTTTCAAAGCGTGATTAGTAACTCCGATCCTTAACCCATGTCAACATCATCATCACGATCCACGCATGGGCATACAACCCCGTAGGTGTCCACTGCACATTTCGTAATTTGTTTCCACGTTCCTCTTGTTTTTGTGCCAATACGCTCAAAGAAGTGCGCCACCATCTTTTCTTGGCACCGATCTCTTTGCGACGTCGTCGTCAGGCCATTTTCTACGCTAAGGTCTTCCTCGCTTTCCGCTTCCTTCCATTTTTGCGCGTCCCGAGAGCTACATTTTAACGTGCAATTTCATTGAGGGGCGGTATTGTTGTTGTTGTCTTGGTGTAGTCTTAAGACTTGTTGTTTTGCTGCCTTGCCCTCGCTTGCATTTTTAGTGTTGAAAAATCGGCAAGAATGTACCGATGCACTTTGTATTTACTGTACTGCTCTTCCTCTTCCACGCGTTTGCCCGACTCATGTGGAGTGTTCCCCACTGTCCTTGCCAACCTTACCCACGTGGCCCTGTCCTGGGCCATCTCTCTTTCCGCTCCTCGGGCCACCATGTCCGACCGCACCACATCGCCACCGCCCACCTCTTCTTCTGCCTTCCTCTTGATCTCTTTCCTTCCACTTGCATCACTTGCACCACTTGCACCTTCTGACCCACATAATTGTATTTAATGTACTGTAAATACTTTAGTTATCATTTTTTTTTGCTTTTCGTGACTTGCTCACATTTTTTTTCTAGTTTTTGCACTCATATCAAGTTGTTTCGATTGTTTGATGTTGTAACTTGCTAACCCGTCCCATACTGGACATGTCAAAAAGAGCTTCATGGCAAATCGGGATTCCCCCTCCCGTTTCAATATTCTGATGTGCATTGTATACCAATACCATTAGTATCCGCAAATGCGGACACAACATACACACACACACGTAACTTGCTTGTATAGCTGTTTGCCAAAACTACTTTCAGACGGTAAAAACATTGGTTTGTCGGGCAATATTTTACGTTACATTCGTTGCATTTCTTTCGCACCGTACGTAAGCCAACCGTGCCAATCGGATGTATGCAGTGGCGTCGTTCGGGGTATTGTGAACCCCATCTGTGCGGACATTTGAGTGCTTTTTTTCACCCCCTTGGATGCTTGACGAGACTTTCTTAAACCACATGGAGCCATTTGCAGCAGGACCCTCCTCAAAAGCTGGCTTGAAAGAGAGCCAGTGAAGAATTTGCCATTGTACAGCCCCTGTTGTGCATGCACCGCTGGATAAAGGCAACACAAACCCCTCCACCCCCACTGTATCAGGCGTGGGAGTTTTGTTGACCATACTTCACCACGCTGGTCGGTGCAGGGTGAAGGCAGTGGGGGGGGGGTGCAAGCAGCAGGGCCCCCTGGTTCGAACGCGTCACTCCCCACTAATGTGAGCCGAAAAGGTTGCATTGGGTTCATCATCACGCCGTGAACGCAGACGGGAGCACTAATCACTGCGCCACCGCTCCACCCACACTACTCTTGAGAAATATATAATGAAAATAAACTCCGCGCTCCATTTTGTTTACAATCGCAAAGGCGCCCCATCGCCTTTGTCCGCGCGTGCGCGCGTTCCCGCGGCGGGGCCAAGTCCATCCGTGCCCCCGCATAATTGACGGGGAGGGTGGCGACGAACCAGCCATCAGCCACAGCCCCCCACCCGACAATCACAACCACCGCTTGAGTGGCCACGTAACTAACTGGTGGTGGTGGAACGTTGCTCGCAGTCGTATTACATACGGTGGGCATTTTGTCGAGCTTTAGGCAAGTGATGGTGATGTTCATGGGTGTGGGTTTGGTTGGTGATGTTTGCTCCTGATGGGGAGTGGATGTTGGCGATGGTGGGGATGGTGCTCATCGTATTATCTTTGTTTATGGCGCGGTGGTGGTTATAGGAGTTTAAATCAGTGCACAATGGCCAATAAAACACAATAGACACACACGCGACACAACGATCAACAAACACAACGTTAACACGATAGACACGATAACAGACGTGACACAATAAACGAAGGTAAATAGCTCGTGCAGAAACACAATGCAACACAAACACAACCCCACATATATATAACACACCAAACACAACACAATAACCAAGGGCACAATGCAACACAAAAACAACCCCACATATAACACATCAAACACAATAATCAATGGATACACAAACATACAAAAACAATACACAATAACCATCACACGACCACAAAGACAAAGATGCCCTGTGTAGCCTACACGGAATGTTAGGACAGGTGTTGTCAGCTAGCACCTACTGTATTATATACACAACCTACACCACACACAATAGCCAACATTGACAATAGCGCGCACACAAACCACGCACATATACAACTGACGCCACACAATAGCACAACAACCACAATAACCAACACACTAACAACAACCAACGCCACACAAATAATAACAGGCACGACACAACACACGTCAAGCACCACCAAAATAACACCACAGCCACAACACACAGCCACAACCACAACACAGCCACAACACACAGCCACAACACAACCACAACACACAGCCACAACCACAAAAACACCACACACAGCCATAACACACCACAACACACAACCACAACACACAACCACAAAAACACCACACACAGCTACAACACACAGCCACAACACACAACCACAAAAACACCACACAATCAAAATATTGTAAATGTAGTAAATTTACTCTCCGCTGGGCTGAAGTAGTAAACTAATTGTCGCGTTTTGTTTACGTGACAAACCTTACTGGCTGTGTTGGGTGGTGGAGGGTTAACGACAATATTTATACTTAACTTACTCATGACCCAAAATAACCCACGTACACGGACACAATAGGACAAGACACAACAAAAACCGCACAATAGCACAGCAACACACAACAGCACATTAACATACAATGACCAACACCATACTTTGACATCACACACACCACAACAACCGCACAATAGCACAGCAACACAGAACAGCACATTAACATACAATGACCAACACCACACTTTGACATCACACACACCACAACAACCGCACAATAGCACAGCAACACACAGTACATTAACATACAATGACCAACACCACACTTTGACATCACACACACCACAACAACCGCACAATAGCACAGCAACACACAGTACATTAACATACAATGACCGACATCACACTTTGACATCACACACAACACCGCAACAACAACCACAACAACAAAACGCACCGCACAACCGCAACACCTGCAACAACAACCACTTTAGCACGACGGCCACAGGTATTAATTGCCCGTCCACACAAAAGACCAACACCACCCCCCTCAGCACCACTCACTCTCATGGAGGACTTTCTTTGGTCACCAGCCTCGGCGCCCGCGTCTCGATTCTCCGCGATAAACACCAAGCCCCGGACGAGGAAGGACGACAACAACTGCTACTAATCACCCGCAACCGAACTGACATAAAAAAATATATCAATGTAATTACCGCTACAGGAATTACATCGACACGAACACACAGGAACAACAACAAACAACAACAAAAAATCCCTCAGAAAGAGATTTTTTTGTTGTTGTTCTAAAACAGTTCAATTATTTTACCCACCGAAAAACAAATTTCGCGAAACAAAAAAACAAATGTACGATGAGAGGGTTGGTTATACAAGAAATGGGGATTTATAGCGATGGCGAAAGCGGTGAGGAATGAAAGAGCGCCTGGGAGCGAGCTTCGAGCCCTCCTCCTCTCCCACTGACAACAACAACAACAACCCGGAGGGAGGGGAGGGGTGACGTGACGTCAATCGATGTGAGAGGGGGGGGGGCGTGATGTTTACCACGGGAAAAACTGGGCCGCGTGACGTCACCGCACGAGTAAGCCCGCGTGACGTTCCTGCCGAGAATAAGGGGCCGCGTGACGTCATCCTGCGGGAGTAAGAACGTATGACGTTTTCTCCACGAGTAATAAGGGAGGGGGGGGGGCGTGAGGTCATCCCGCAGGAGTAAGACCAAGGACGTTTACCCCCCAGAAGAAAGCCTGCGTGACGTCATCCAGCGGGAGTAAGACCGTATGACGTTCTTCTTCCCGAGATTAAGGGGCCGCGTCGCGTCATCCCGCGGGAGTAAAGCCGTATGATGTTACCATGGGAAGAAAGGCCGCGTGATATCATTTACGCAGTGAGAGCGCGCGTCAAGTCAGCCTGTGGAGACGATCTCCTGTGTGACGTCATCCAGAGAGCAAAGGGCTTGTGACGTCACGCAGTGGAGACGGTGGTCGCGTGAGGTCACCCCATGTGGAGGCGGTGGCAAGCGTGACGTCGCCTCTGGGAAGGCCCGGCCAATCGTAGGGCGGGATGACCACAACACGCGGTGACGCGCGCCGGAGTTGAGCACGTGACTTCCGGCTATGCACCCCCCCCCCCCTCAACTTGCCACCCTCCCGCCCGGCACAGATCCGATTCGATTCCTTTAGGCTTTAAATGTTGATTTAAAGCTTTCGTGACTGCAGGGATTCATATTCTTGATTCTATGTGTTTCTGTTATGAGTATGTCGACTATAGCTCTGATCGATTCTTTCGAAGCGATTACAGTAATCGCATCGACTTAATGCTGCTGCTGCTGCGTTGGCAAGCGGAGCACAAATCACACAAAACTCAACAAACGTCCCGGGCAATGGCCCTTCATAGAGCACGAAGAAGGGGCGTTGCGCGAAACGTCGCATTTTGTTTCCTTTTAAGGCCACACAGTGTTATTGGCGAAATTGTTGAGCGTCTTATTTTGATTCGATTACAGTACATTGATGACACGCCATAACGTTTGTGAAAAAGCGCTTTGTAGCTCATAGGATTTCTCTAGTATAAATAAATATTCTGATTGAATGTTCAGCAGGGGCGTCAACAACTCAGCTTGTCATGGCAGCAGGCTTATTCTGAGTGACCTGCAGTTCAGTTTTACATCATTAGACCTCCTTTGCCAGTACCAAAATACTATAGGGTTTTTCGCCTTTTTCCTGGCAACAAAACTGAAACCTTTTTACAAGGAATCATGTTTACATTATGACCACAATACTTGTGGTCGAAATGCAAACAAAAAACACACTGATAATATATGCATTGTCCTTGAAACTGCTTGGTCCACACCAGAGACGGCTTTCTTTTGAGCCTCGTCTCAATTGGTGCTGGGGCAATGCATATATATTATCAGTGTGTGTGTTTTTTGTTTGCATTTTGACCACAAGTGTTGTGGTTAATGCACACATGATTCCTTGTAAAAAAGTTTCAGTTTTTTTTGCCAGAAAAAAAGGGGAAAACCCCTATTATTATTGCAGTTCAGTTCTTTGAATTCAAATCTTAGATAAATCCAGAAACACATAAACACGAGATGACAATAACGTGAAATACATTTGCAAATCTTGCTTTGAAGCTTTCGTGACTGCAGGAATCCATACTCTCCGGTTCTTTCGGTAAAGTCACGTAAACTTTCACGTAAACTTTACCGAAAGCACCGGAGAGTATACATTGGCAAAAGTTAAACAAGACTAACATCGCCGTGTAATCGTCATATCGTGGAAATGTAATGTCGCATAATTGAACATATCGTGGGAAAAAAGTGCGACAGCGCCGCCTGCCGTTTCACCAGGGGTTCGAGTCCCGGCTAACATCAGTGGCGAGTGATTACAGTGATCGCGAGTGATACCTGAACCTTACTCTTTGGTTCTATTGGGTAAAGTCACGTAGGTAAAAAATAAAATAACAAAAATCACGACGTTTCGGCCACAACACAAGCGGCCTTCATCAGGTGAAGGGACGATACTGTCTGGAAGACAGCGCTGGAGTGAAAAAGCCACGCTCAGATCACGACCTTTAAGCTGTGTGAGAAGAAACAAAGCGCCTTGACAAAGGAATTAGCATAGAATTTAGCATTGAAATGGCTGAGTGATTAGCTTGTGACTGATCACAGAAATGGCTATGTTAAAGTTAAAGCATACACATCCTGCGGCCAACCCAACTTTAACCAAACCGCGCTGATCAAACAATCCCCACGGTAGTCAGGACCAGATTCTCATGTCACAGAGTTGCTGATCGCCAGCTGCAGGCAGCCTCTCTTCCACGTCTTTGCCTACCTCGAGCAGAATCATCGCTGGCTCATCTGTCCAATTCTACAACCACATCAAGTTCCCTCTGTCTGGGTCACCCTCGACTCCAGCTTATCCTTCGACACCCACAGCAACCACAACCGTTGTGATCTTGCGGCAACCACCTCAGGGTGTGTGGCCAAATCTGTCCTTGTCGTGATCTTCAACAAGTAAAATGTGATGGGATCTTTTTTTTTTCTTCCAGTATCAATTTGATGAAAAAAATATAGAACAGGCTTTAGCCTTTCCGGTAAGAACACAGGTCCATAATAGAGGTTATTTGATTAGTCTTCTTTGGTTCTTTCGGTAAAGTCACGTAGAATGAGAATAAATTAATAAATTAATAAAATAACACAATAAAATTATCACGACGTTTCGGCCACAACACAAGCGGCCTTCTTCAGGTGAAAGGAACAGACCCGTCGGGACGACAGAGCTTCAGTGAACGTTGTTAAGATTCGTAGCGTCTTTTTAAGCTGGTTTAGAGAAGTGAGGCACCTTGACAAAGGGGTTTACATATAAAACAGAATTTAGCATTGAAATAGCTGAGTGATTAGCTTGTGACTGGTCACAGAAATAGCCGTGTTAAAGCCAAAGCTTACACATCAACAGAGGCACCTAGTACAAATCAAACAGGATAATTTAGCATTGAAATAGCTGAGTGATTAGCTTGTGACTGGTCACGTAAATATATAAATGTGTCGTTAAACCCGCCGCCACCCGACACAGCCAATTAGTAAGGCGTGTCACGTAAACAGAACGTGGCCAATTCGTTACTAGTACAGCACACCGGTTGTGTGTTGGAGATTAAGTCCACAACATTTACAATTCGAGTACGACGTTTGGCCAGTAATTACAGCTAGCTTCATCAGGCGACAGCCAGCAGAAGCCCCATTATGGATAATATTGGTCGCGAAAGGCTACGTGTTAAAGAATACAGGTGTTGTGAGATAAGATGTTCAAACACCAAATAGACACCTACAACAAGGCATCAAGTCTGCATTAACCATATACGCGTGTGGTAAAACGTGCAAATGTGGGCCTTACCTGGTAAAATAAAAAACTCGGTTACAGTCTCGTCCGCCAATACTGAATTGATGTTTTTTTTTGTCTTTCGTTTGTGTTTTCGCTGCGCTCACACATCACGGTAATTGACTAAACTAGACCATCCGTGTAACAAATCAAGTCAACTCAAACTCAATCTTCTCGTACGGCCGCGATGTGTCCGGATTAACTTTTCTTCATTGTCAATCAGTGCGTCGACCGCCTGTGATTTTGGTTCTCTGAGCCATGTGCTCCTCTCTCTGTCTCTCAGTGTAATTGCAAAGAATCATCATCAGCATTGCACACCTGTCAACCCATACGGCTTACCCCGTATTCTTTAACAGGAAAATTGAGTTTTCAGGTCCATACGGCGTACAGCCGTTTGAATATGGGCAAACATTTTTTTTATTTGTTTGTGATGGGACTTTATAGGATGAACGTTGAGATTTATAAGGGCACGGGGGTGACCAATAAGGTCTGAATTGGTCTGTAACAAGGTAGGGCACTGATAAGGAGGTGACAAGTTTGAAGTGGTGAGTATAGTGATGAGTGTGCTAGTGGTGAGTGTACTAGTGGTGAGTGTAGCAGTGGTGAGTGTAGCAGTGGTGAGTGTACTAGTGGTGAGTGTAGCAGTGGTGAGTGTACTAGTGGTGAGTGTAGCAGTGGTGAGTGTAGCAGTGGTGAGTGTAGCGGTGGTGAGTGTAGCGGTGGTGATTGTCTATATGTGTTTCTTCCTTGTGATGGGACTTTGTAGGATGAACGTTGAGATGTACAAGGGGCACGGGGTGACCAATAAGGTCTAAATTGGTCTGTAATCAGGTAGGGCACTGATAAGGGGTTGACGGGTGTGTGAAGGCCTTGACCAATCCAGGGCTGGAACAAAGCTTCCCGCCCAAGCCGTTGCCACAATGTCAACGTCATTATCTTCACGTTCATCATCACATCGGTACTGGAAGTTGCATTGGAAATGAAATCATAATTTGCATTCGTGAGGCGCATTTCAACGTATTACTTAATAATAGGGTTTTGCCCCTTTTTTCTGGCAACAAAACTGAAACCTTTTTCACGAGGATTCATGTCTGCATTAACCACAATACCTGCAGTCAAAATGCAAACAAAAACACACTATGATAATGTATTGGCATTGTCCTTGAGACTGGTTGGTCCACACCAAGGGACGGCTTTCTTTTGAGCCTCGACCCAATTGGTGCTCGACCAGATGACGCCAAAAGGCCACAACTTGCATAGCGCCGTTGGTTGCTGGCCGCTTCCTTGGCGTTTTATTATTGTAATTTTTTTTTAAAAGGTAGCAAAATAAATACGTTGACAGTCCACCTCATTCACAATATCTGGCCCCTCAGCGCGCAATATCATAAGTCTTTGTGCACATACCACCAGCCACACGGCTGACTGCAGTTGTTCCAGCGCAGCAAGCTTCGGTTCAACACAAGCAGCAGCAGCGGCGGCAACGACGACACAAACTCTGCTCTGGTTTCGACATTCAGTGTCTCATCAGCCGGTGAATCCGAGTGGCCAGCGAGAGCCGCCAAGTCGCTGCTGTCACCGCAAATTGCACCTGCCCACCCCCTATCCACCGTTCCCGTTCATTCATTTCGGCAAAACGGTCCCCGCCGTCCAGCTCGGGACCCAACAATCACCGCGAACCCGCAGTAATTACACAACTGATAATGAACCCAGCATCACAATCATCGTTTTGATCGCAACCGCAACCACCACCACCACCACCGCCACGTGGTGTACACTCTGGGTCGCAGGCTCCGAGGATCTGCCGCACGAACGTGCAGGGGGTGGTGGTGGGGGGGTCGATGTGCGGCGCGCGTTCATTCCTTTATTCGCGTGCAGGGCTTGAGTTGAGTTAATTGGGAAATCCGACCATTAAAGAAACGGGTTACGTCCATTACAATGTTGAGAGGGGAGGTGGCACATGGACATTCACGCAGTTCGTCTATGCAACCGGCATCTCTCGGCGTCAATGTTGTTATAGCATCCATAACAGAGGGGGTTTTTGAGGGCTTAGATCGCGTAAATATGTGTCGTTAAAACCCGCCACCACCCGACACAGCCAACTCGTGAGGGTTGTCACGTAAACAGAACGTGGCCAATTCGTCACTAGTACAGCGCACCTGTGTGTTGGGAGAGCCAAGCCACAACAATTAAAAATCTGAGTCATTGTTATAGCAAGTGTCACTCGCTGCAAGGCCCGCGGGCCCTGAGTGGCCTTTAGTGCCGCCACCGAACACACAACAACAAAAAACACAAAGAGTGAAGACAACACCACCACCCCCATCATCACCACCATCATCACCATCATCACCACAATCAACAACAAAAAACACAAAGAGTGAAGACAACACCACCACCACCCCCATCATCACCACCATCATCATCACCATCATCACCACCACCGTCATCATCACCACAATCAACAACAAAAACACCGAGAGTGAAGACAACACCACCACCCCCATCATCACCACCACCCCCCCTATCACCACCACCACCCCCATCATCACCACCACCACCCCCATCATCACCACCACCACCCCCATCATCACCACCACCACCCCCATCATCACCACCACCCCCATCATCACCACCACCCCCATCATCACCACCCCCATCACCACCACCACCTCCATCATCACCACCACCCCCATCACCACCCCCATCATCACCACCACCCCCATCATCACCACCACCAGCCCCATCATCACCACCACCCCATCATCATCACCACATCATCACCACCACCCCCCCATCATCACCACCACCACCCCCATCCTCACCACCACCCCATCATCATCACTACCACCACCCCCATCATCACCACCACCACCCCCATCATCACCACCACCCCCATCATCACCACCACCAGCCCCATCATCACCACCACCCCATCATCATCACCACATCATCATCACCACCACCCCCCCACCATCACCACCACCACCCCATCCTCACCACCACCCCATCATCATCACTACCACCACCCCCATCATCACCACCACCACCCCCATCATCACCACCACCCCCATCATCACCACCACCCCCATAATCAACACCACCACCATCATCACCACCACCCCATCATCACCAACACCCCCATCATCACCACCACCCCCCCATCATCACCACCACCCCCCCCCCCCCATCATCATCACCACCCCCATCACCACCACCACCCCATCATCATCACCACCCCCATCATCACCATCATCATCACCACCCCCATCACCACCACCACCCCATCATCATCACCACCCCCATCATCACCACCACCACCACCACCCCATCACCATCATCGTATCGCTGTCACAAGCACCACTCTCCTCCCCCAAAATGGGTTTCAAACGCGTCTGGCGGCCCTCGTAAACACTGACGGGTGTCTCGTCGGCGGCGAAAGCGTCACCGGTGAGGGGGGACAACGGCGTCACGCCGTCGACTCAACCTCTGCGGCCGGTGGCGATTAAATAACAAACTTTGGTGAATTCACGATCCCAAAACAATGAGTCGAGTGCCAGGGCGGCCGCCGCCGCCGCTGTTTGACACCCGAAGTCCGTTAGGCGGCCCTCGTACATTTCCCACATCGCTTGGGCTCGCAGCCGCCAGCCTACTGGCCGGCTCGCGTCACGTGACGGGCGCGCCGGCCAATGGCGAGGCGAGGATCGCGTATCCGCGCTAGGGAATCCGAGCCACCCCTTCCTCCCTGGAAGCTCGCTCCGTGGGTCTCCCCCCCACCCGCCCGCCCCCCACACCCGCCCGGCCGCGTCCCGCCGAGAGCCGCGAGGTTTTTCCTTTGAGGCGAAATTTCGTCGCTGACAAAGAGTCAATCTCCGATGTGTGAAACTAGCGCGCGCAGTACGAGCTTAGCGGGATCGATAAGACGCGCGTCGCGGCGTGTGTAAGGAAAGGGGGGGCCGTTAACCGACGCGTCAAAATTTTGTTTTGCGAAATTCTCGATTCAACCCTCAATCGCCGCGGCCTACACCGAAGCACCGCAGCCTCGCTCCCAGGTCAACTCTCAAAATCGCGCGAGCGAATACAAGCGGCAGGGCTGCGAAGCGATCACTCGACGATCCCGGCTGTCGCCGAGGGCGTTTTTAATCAAGGAAAGTCGTCGCGGCGTCGGCCGCCGTCTTCGTTCACCTGCGAGGTTCGGCCTAGTCCGGGCCGGGGCAGCCTCGGATTCGCCTGGCGGCTCTGCCCGCTTGGGTGGTGCTCGGGCCGGCTGGGGAGGCGGAACCGACCGGAGGCGCCATCGCTTCAATCCCGTCGGTCTCCCTCGTAGTGAGTACAAGGGAGTTCGCGTTTGTATGGCTGACTTGAGTGGAAGGCTTGGAGGTGGATTTCGGTGTGCGGTGAGTGAGTACCGGCGTTTGTTTGGCTCGGGCAGGTGTATTGGAAGTTGCGGCTGCTGTCACGCGAGTACTGCGCTAGTGTTGTTAGACACAAGGCTTGGCTGGTAGTTGTTGGTGTGGTACGTTAAAAGTGGATGGACGTAGTGGTAGTAGCAGTACGAAACGGTAGATGTTCTGAGTTAGCTGCGTGGGGTATCGACACAGTACGTCTGCGTTGTGCTACTCTATGAGTAAAGTACGTTATTGTTCCAGGCCTCTACCAACACGCAGCAACCAGCGTATGTGTTGCATGCACTCTATAGATGTGTCGTGTTTAACGTACGTATCTGCGTAACGCGTGTGTGTGTACAGTATTTGTATGCATGTTCGTTGGTATTTGTGTGCTTATATGCGTATGTGTGTCGTGTGTGTATGGCGGCTCAGCTTTTAATGAGCATTTTGTGCAGTGTGTGAACATCGGCACGAGGGAAACAAAAGCGGCCGGGCGTGGTTCCGGCCACACCAACATCATTGCGCTCTTTCCCGGTCTTAATACAATACACGCTGTGACAGCACGTGCCCCAACACCCCTGGTGAGGCTAAATGGGGCTCTCTGTCTTCAGATGAACCGTGTTTGTTCTTTGCGCATTGTTTCAATGTTTGAGTGTTCATGTCAGCATATTGTGTTTGTGATAATTGTTATTTCATGTCTTATGGTCTTTGTTTTTGCATGAGGATATCCACTGTACAGTCTTCAACAATGTTCGCACGGCGATTGTAACTCTTGATTCGGGTTATAGCCTTACTATGTCTGTTGTTCAGCACAGCTCCTATTCACTAGAATATTAGTTAATTCTCTTGCCATGGTCAACGCCACCATCATCTTTACTCTGGGGTCATATCTCAGGGGTTGGTACAGTGAGCACTTCCCGGTCAGGCTGTACTGATTTCTGATTGGAAAGCAGCAGCACTGGTTCCATCAAACACTATAGACGCGTGCTTGCCATAGGCCTGCAACCAAATCACCCGGAATGTCAGATCTCTGCTTAGATCGCGTAAGCTAAGCAGGGCCTGGACGGTGCTTGGTTTGGGTGACCACCATGCATACATCAGGTCATTCATTGTGAGCTGCTGCGGAGCGTCGTGTGTTGGGCGACAGATGGCAGTGCAGCACAATCCATTGTATCTTTCTGCCGTTCTTTCTATGTTACCGAGAGGCAAGCTTTGGAGTGCCCTCCACGAGTCCCGCGACCATTGGGACGAGAAGACCTAAGAGTAGTAGGTGGGATACAATTAGGGCAGCGCTATTGATCTCTGTGTGAGTATGTGGGCTCACTGTGTGTCTGCTGGTCTCTACGGGAAACTATGGGTTTCTGTACGATTATGTAGGTCTCTGTGTGAGTCTATGAGCAGATGGTGAGAGACTGCGAGGGCAGAACTTCCGAGGCCGTGTGTCGGCTGTGCAGCAGCTGCGGAACTAGTGGAGAGTAGAGATCATTGTTGGCGAGGAGCTGCGGTGGGTGGTGGCATCGATGGCTTCGGCCACGTTGACGGCTTGATCTTCCAGTGCTCACATGTTCATGCTTCCCCACCTTTCGCACTCCATGCTGGTCAAGTACCAATGTTAAGGATATGCATGTATAGTGGCGCTTGCGTAAGTGCCCAGGCATCTGAAAGCTCATTGCTTCTCATCTCAACCATTCGATGGTTTGTTTATTTTACCCGAGGGGACTACCTGTCAGGAACAAGATAATACAAGCCTGCAAGTAGGCACTTCTGTCAGTAGGGGGAATAATGTTCTTGGTTATTCAGATTAAGTCCTTTGTTTTAAACTTGCAACATTTTACTCCGTGACGCCAACACACAGGTCCGACTCTTTGAACAATGTCGCCGAATCTTTATCGTCCACTGTGATGCACGCGTCACCTATTTTTGTTTAATGCGCCTGCATTATTAACCAGGGGGCAGCTAGGGGATTGAACTGCAAAACTCGGCCATGGTTGAATAACATGAAGCCTTTTCTCAAGTTGAAAGCAGATTGTGCTTTTTTATGTCCATTAACTGCCGTGCTCTACAGGTGTTTACATATCCACCTATACCTCAGTCCCCAGAGAGGCAGATGGGACCAGTTCTACTGTACTTGTTTTAGCATTGGTATTGCGGGACAGTGTTGCAACTATGAATTTTAAATCGTGACGGCCTCGGTCTGGTTTAGTTGGCGAATCGGCTCAAATGTGTCGCGGTTTAGCTATCGCGGTCTGTTGTGTAACATTCACAGAGGAGCTGAGCAAAGAGTTTTTTCGAGAATTGTCACAGCATGAGGAGGGCGGGTGGCTCAGAGGTCCGTGAAACTGAGCCAGCACTACTGAGATCCTGAGTCTGAATCCAGGTTTCAGCCGCCTGTGATTTAACCAGGTTCTCGAACCTCCTGAGTTAATGGTCTCAGCCCGGTCTCCAATTGCAACACACACACACGCAAAAAAAAAACCATCACGTTAAATTTGGTTTTGCATTTTATTTGGATAAATTCCAGGTCTGAGAATTACAAATGTCAGCCATGAGACGAATATTATTCTCATTTGCAGGATAGGTAGGAAAGTGCTGCCTCCTACACTGGGTTAGAGGTCACTTGAAGAACGGATCTCAGAGGTAGCTCTGTGATATCTGCTTCCGAGGGCCATTCTCCAACACAAAGGGTTGCGCACTGCTTTGCGAGATATCTGAATGGATTCTTCGGCTCGCAATGTAACACTGAGAGCACAGTCGGGAGAAAAATAGCAAAAGAAGTTGGTGATAAAAAATATAGTTCACATTGGCTGAGTCACGCACTTGTCTGTGAATGATGCGCATCTCTGTAAATCCAGGCTGTAGAGATTATCTTCTGTTTGTGGTCTCGAGATTATCTCTGACCTGCAGACTCCACAAAGAGACATTCCGTACTAAAGGCCTTATCCGGGTGTTTTAATCGTATTGCTCGCAATGCCACTTTGGAATATCAACTGACAGGCAGGTCCTCATGTTTGGTAAGCCATGTTTTCACAATCATCCATGTATTATACATGTTGGTCATTTGGATAGTAATTAAATCCGAAGTTTATAGAAAATATTACTCATTTATGGAACGGGTCAATGGTTTGACAATTACGTACCAATACCGTCCCAGTGTGGGTGAAAGTGTCGATTTGTCTGCGTGCCCATGTTCAGCATCCGTTCCCAGGTTTAACTCCAGTTTGGTGCAACCATTTGATCACTGAGGCCGCTCGACAAAACCGAAATTCCTAAGTTTCAAATTGGACTGCGTTCATGAGAGTGTCATCATGACCCCCTTTACAGATGGATGGATGGAATGAATGCATAAATGCTTTAAAAATAAAAGAATACATTTAGAGGAGCATGTGTAGGGTGTATGTGGGGGTGGATGTTTTTGTGTGTTTTGGGGAGCAGTTGTTTAGCGAACCCGACGACCTGAGTTTGATTCCTCCTCGCGGCCAATACCAGTGACGATTATCTGAACCAGTCCTGGGCCTCCCTTAGGCCGACTTGGCCTCAAATGAGTACCTGGTGTGGTGTGTAAACATCACCACTGGGAGACAAAGGCGGCTGGGCATGGTGCTGACCACTGACCCCCTTGTGCTCTGTGCCGTCCTTCATAGGTGCTCGGGAATAGCACTTGCCTCGAAAGTCTGTTAAGGCTAACAGTGACGAATATCTGAAGCGTTGTTGGGCCTCCCCTAGGTCGACTCAGTCTTAAAATGAGTACATGCTGCGATATTAAACATCAACCCTGGAGAGACAAAGGCGGTCTGGTGTGGTGCTGACCGCCTACCGCCGCGTGTGCTGTGCCCACCTTCATAGGCGCTCGCTAACAGCACGTGTCCCAACAGCCTGTGGAGGTTACATGAGAGGATCTTTGTGCTTCGTGTGCGAGCAGCGGGCGGTGGACGTGCTGGAGTGGACGGTGACGCGGATGGACGGGGGCGTGGGGGAGCTGGTCACCATCAACGGCCACCACGCTGCCATGGGAGGCACCGGCGACGACGACGATGGGGACGGCGGCGCCCAAGCCCAGGGGCACGCGCTCGACCCCTACGGCACCCAGGTGTGTGTTGTGTTATCGTGTGGTGGGTGCTCGTCGTGGACGCTACCGGACAGTGCCAGGAAAGGAGCACAGCGTGGCTCCTGTGCAGTTGGTGGCAGCCGCTCACCAGCAACGACGAAGGGCGGAAAAGCGGCGCTCAAAACACTGAGCGGAGCGCCAATTGGCTAGAATGCAGCGAGGCGGTGCAGTGGAAAGCACAGGTGGCGCATCTGCTGGTGATCTCGGTCAAGGCATGGCACCTGGGTCTGTCCCGTGACCTACTGCCCCCAGCGAGTCTTCCACAATTCATGTGACGGCATCAAAGTGCACCTAGCCTGACACAAGCGCTGCGTTGAGGTCACCATCACTTGGTGCCAAATGGCGGCTGTTGTTACCATGGACAAGTGGAGAGTTTTTGGGGAGTGGTTAGCACGCTGCGGTACAAACTAAGCGACCGGAATTCTATTTCCGCTCACAGCCAATACCAGTGAGACATTATGCGGCCATGCTTGGTGCTGGCCACACCACTCCCCACACCCCCAATTAGCATGGTTGGCTACGTAAGGTGCGAAAGAAACACAACATACAAATGTACGTGTGCCGTTCCGGCCTTCATCGATGCTCGCTAAGAGTGCTTACCCCAACGGTCTGTTGAGGCTATTTGGAGGATCTTTGTGTTACCATGGAAACCAAGTGTTTCTCATAGTTTGTAATAATATATGGTAATCCAGCAGCAATTACTTAACCAGCGTGACTCTGCTGAAGCCCAGAAGGTTTAAACCTGTCCAGAGTTTACTTTTACTTATAAATGGTTTGAAGAAAATGTAGGTCAATTTAACACAGAGATCTCAATGTCAATATTGGCCTTGAACCAGTGCTGGTGAACTGCCATTTGTTTATAGGCAAGGCCCCTCTCAGGTATGCGCCCGAGTGCAACGGAACACTATAATACGGAAAGGATTTTATTCAAAGTCACCATTTCCTTGAGCCCCGTGATGGCCTGTGCCAAATCGTCGGCAGGACAGTGCATTGGAACACTCGTGCCTCAAAGCAAGAAAAACGTGGGTTTGAATCCTGACCCGGGCGCCAAGTTCCGTGGTTTCCTCCCATAAAAACAAAGCAATGTAATCGGTATTGACCAAAACATGCCGGTGCTGAAAAATTAGCTGCAAATCACATTGGGGTCACACACAGCAGCAACATCGCCCCTTACTGCGAACATCCACTCCCAAAACTTATGTATGTTGAACTTCTTTCGCACCGTACGTAGCCAACTGTGCTAATCGGAGGTGCGGGGCAAGGACAACAAACTAAATACAAAAAGCAGTTTTAAAGAAATGAGTTTTCAATCGATATTTAAAAGTGCATCACTTTGGGGGCCTCCTTTAATTGGAAGGAAGAGCGTTCCAGACGGCCGCAGAAGTGAATGCTAAAGCACGCGATGCATTGACCGTCTTTGTTGGATGGCCAGCCAAACAGTGTTGTGAGACTCTGCGAGGCTTTCCTGGGTGACCTAGCTTAGTAATTAATAAACTATAACACACCGCAGCCGTGCGGGAGGGCGAGTCGTGGCCGCCGCTCTCCGGCCTGACGTGACGGTCGCGGCCGCGTGCGCCGCCCTCTCCCAGGGGATGCTGGAGGGCGACGACTCCTCGCCGTCGTCGGGCGATGACGACAACGCCTACGACGACTCGGACATCCTCAACGCCACGGTGGCCGACGAGGTGACGGCCCACCTTGCCGCAGCCGGTGAGAGACAGAGAGGGAGAGAACAAAAAATCCTGCCGCTCAATCAAGCTCTGAGGCATTGGTGCACATGTCCTTTATACGGTCCTGCAGAGCCGGTGTTGGGAATTCCACATTTCTGTGGCAGGGGTGAGTCTCCATAGGACAAGCGCTGTTGTTTCTTTCCCCACAAAGTGGTACTCATTTTATCGGGATTCATCAGGATTTGAACTCGTGATTTTCCGGTTGCGAGCCACTCGCTCCACCGCCGAGCCAACTCACGGATTCCCGTGGCACAGCCTGCAAATTACATTCCAGCTGGTAAGACAAACTAAATTTAATACAATGTGAATGAAATGCAACAAGCGCACAAAGAAGCATGGAGGGATGCATGCTGGGAATTTCGCCCAGAAGCAAAAATACGGACACGCGGATTGGAGGACGTACGTACATAGTAGATATATTGACTTCAAGAAAACCTAAGTGGGCTTGGGCAGGTCACGTCACATCAAAGGGATGTTTACCGGTAGTCGTGATGCAGTGGCAGTCGTAAGAGGGAGCGCGCCCGAGAGGACGACCACCGTGCAGGAGGAGCGATGAGATCGGCACACGTGCAGGTGCTGTCTGGATTTAACAATAGGTTTCACCCTTTCTGGCAATAAAACAGTTGTGTTAAGATGTTAAAACACGAAACATATTCTTTTTTCAAGGAATCCTGTCTGCATTAACCACACGTACTTGTGGTGAACATGCAAACAAAAAAAACATGCTCTGATATAATATATGCATTGTCTTTGAAACTGATTGGTCCACACCAGAGACAGCTTTCTTTTGAGCCTAGTCTCAAAGTGTAGTCTCAAAGTCTCAGACAATGCATATATTATCAGAGCATGTTTTTTGTTTGCATGGTCACCACAAGTACGTGTGGTTAATGCAGACAGGATTCCTTGAAAAAGGGTTCTGTTTTGTGTTTTAACATCTTAACACAACTGTTTTATTGCCAGAAAGGGTAAATCCTATTGTTATATTTTCATACTGGCAAGAAAGGTCCCGTATTGCTGTCTGGATTGTTACGTCGCAGGATCGTGAACGATGGCAACGGGCTGGGAATGCCTCCGTCCAGCAGTGAAAAGATCACGCATAGTGAAGAGTGTAAAGGCAAAATAATGAGCGCGGTGACTCGCTGGACACGAGGACCGGGCTAACCCCGGTCGGGCGGCTGAAACCCGGATTCACACCGAGGATCTCGGCGGTGCCGGCTCCGCTTCTCCGGCTCCCGAGCCACTTGGCCTCCTCGCTTGGGTGGCGTCGTAAATTTAAAGGAGGGCGGCTAACGAGCGGCGCTTCCTTTCTCCGGCAGGACCCGTGGGGATGGCGGCGGCGGCCGCCGTGGCGACGGGGAAGAAGAGGAAGCGACCGCACATCTTCGAATCGAACCCCTCGATCCGTAAACGACAACAGACGCGGCTACTCCGGTGAGACGGGGTGGGGGGCGGCTTCATCTCCACACCATCACACTCGACTACCACCTCGTCGCACTTCGGACCCTCCTCATCATCTCACTTAACTCTCATCATATGTGTGCGCTTGTGCGTACGTATTCATATTTTTTGGTGTTTCCACCGTGGTGCTTGGTGGAAAAAAGTGGTAGATAAAAGTGCCGGGATTAATGTACACCTATGTGGCTATGGGTGATTTGTGTTTGTGGTGCGTGTTATAATTAATGTAGAGTGCTGTACAGTACAGGAGGTACAGTCGTGTGTAGGTGTAGTGGAGTGTGGTGTAAAATGCAGCAAGTTGGCAGAGTAACGAGCACATTTGGTGCATCTGCCAGTCATCTGCGTCGGTCCACACACAACTCCGGGGACCTGTGATCTACTGTCGGCAAGCTTTCGACACTTCACGTGGCCTCAAGGTGCACCTAGCCTGGCACAAGCGCCGCCGTGACGTCACCGCCACATGGTATTAAACGGCAGTTGTCGTCGTAGGGGGATCTGCGTGTTTATTGTGTGTGGCTATGAAGGGATCTGTGTTTGTGGTGTGTGTATATGTGGCTATGGGGGGATCTGTGTTTATGGTGTGTCTGTGGCGATGGAGGGATCTGTGTTTATGGTGTGTGTGTGGCGATGGAGGGATCTGTGTTTATGGTGTGTGTGTGGCGATGGAGGGATCTGTGTTTGTGATCTGTGTATGTGGCTATGGGGGGGATCTGTGTTTATGGTGTGTGTGTGGCGATGGAGGGATCTTTGTTCATGGTGTGTGTGTGGCTATGGAGGGATCTGTGTTTGTGGTGTGTGTATATGTGGCTATGGGGAGGATCTGTGTTTGTGATCTGTGTATGTGGCTATGGAGGGGAGATCTGTGTTTATGGTGTGTGTGTGTGCCTATGGAGGGATCTTTGTTCATGGTGTGTGTGTGGCTATGGAGGGATCTGTGTTTGTGGTGTGTGTAGGTGGCTATGTGGGGGATCTTTGTTTATGGTGTATGTGGCTATGGTCTGTTGCTCCGCACGAAACTTCAGGTCTTCTCGGCCACAGTCATTCCCTCCCTTCTCTTCACTTGCGAAACGTGGACCCCCCCCTCATGGAACATCTTTGCCAGTTACAAACATTTAGGCTGGCCTGCCTACGATCCATCCTGGGTTTAACCAGGCTGGATGTGTGAGGAGCTCACAAATCCTTGAAAGATTTGGACAAAGTCCCATCGGTGAGCTCCAACGGCAGGCAAGGCCGCGTTGGCTGGGTCATGTAGCCCGCATGCCCAGTCACCGCATGCCTAAACAGCTTTTGTTCGGCCGGATCAAGGGGGCTAAACGGGCACGGCACGAGCTAGAGAAGAGATGGAGTGATGTGGTACAAGAGGATGTGGAGCTGAGTTGACTTGCCAATGACTGGTACCAGTGGTGTCAAGATCGGCCTCTGTGGAGGAGGCTCGTGAAAGACGCTAATGGGCAGTTGGAAGCAGTCGACAATAACGGAGGGCGGAGGAGTGACGCTCACAACAACGGGTGGAGCGCTGGGTGGCTAAAGCACAGCCAGTTGGCACAGTAGGGGGCACAGGTGGTGCATCAGCCGGTCATCTCAACCAGTCGACCTGTGGCACCTGGGTCTACCCCGTGACCTCCTGCCAGCGGGCTTTCGACACTTCACATGGCCTCAACGTGCACATAGCCTGGCACAAGCGTCGTGGTGAATGGCAGTTATTGTTGTTATGGAGAGATCTGTGTTTGTGTTGTGTGTATGTGACTATGGGGGGGGATCTGTGTTTATGGTGTGTGTGTGGCTATGTAGGGATCTGTGATTGTGGTGTGTATGTGACCTTGGTGTGTTGTGTGTGCGTGCAGGAAGCTTCGGAGCGTGATTGACGAGTACACGACGCGTGTGGGGCAGCAGGCCGTGGTCCTCTGCCTCTCGCCCTCAAAACCCAACCCCATCTTCAAAGTCTTTGGAGCCGCGCCACTCGAGAACGTGGTGAGTGCCGCACTTGGACGCATTGTGCGCCAGCACAACACCGGCCGACCAAGTGTCTGGCTGATTGACCAACACAACCGACGGGCCGTCTGGCTGCCCGACTGTGCATCGGTGTCTAGATTCATACTCTTTGGTTCTATTCGGTAAAGTCACGTAAAAGTATAAAACAACAAAAATAAAATAAAAATTTCACGACGTTTCGGCCACAACACATGTGGCCTTCATCAGGTGAAGGGACCAGACTGTCTCGAGAACAGCGCTGGAGTGAACACAGCCAAGCTCAGACCGCGACCTTTAAGCTGTGTGAAAGGAAACAGAGCGCCTTGACAAAGGAATTTACGTGACTTTACCGAATAGAACCAAAGAGTATGGATCCTTGCAGTCACGAAAGCTTCAAATCTAGAGGTGTCTAGATTGTAAAATCTAGCTGCAGGCTTCTGGGCACAGTGAGTGTAAAACCACTCGTGCTGTCGGAGAATGCTCGCGGTGGTCACGAGCTCACACAGACATGGGCTCACCCATAGACTCACACAGGGTCCCATAGATTAAGACTCACATGGGCCCTAAGTTCCCACAGAGATCCATAGACTTACAACCCAATTATTCTTCCGCTAGTCTTCTATGCTGCCTGGCATGCGGTTGAGTCTTGTTACCGTGTTCCCCAATGGCATTTCACGTGCATTTCTGTGAGTGTTGAGGTCGTTGTCTCGGCGGCGGGTGTCTGCCTGTCTGACCATTTGACCGACTGTCCGACTGATAGACAGACAGATCGGCCGAGCGACCGGCTAACAGAGTGTGTGACGTTTGTCAGGTGCGCAAGTACAAGAACGTGATGCTGAGCGACCTGGAGCTGGCGCTGACGGAGCACGCGCCCACGCAGAGCGACCTCCACCCCGAGCTGCCGCCCCTCACTATCGACGGCATCCCCGTGTCCGTCGACAAGATGACGCAGGTCAGTTGGGAGTGTGGGGGGTGGCCGGGTGGCCAGGTGGCAGGGTGCGACACTAACATTGGCGCAATCACACCGACCGAACAGCTGAGCGTCTTGACCAAATCAGTGAGGAAACCAGGAACTGGGGGAGGGGTGGTGGACAGGTGTGCGAATGCAAAAACACTCGGGGGCAGCACTTGGATGAATCGCATGATGTAATAATGTGACGGCGTGTTCGTGCTCACAAAGGTCGTGTCACCAGATGCCGTTGGGAAATGCCTCGGAAGGGATTTAATATGTGACGTCATTTCCGGAGACGTACTTTCCGTTCAATCCAAAACCAACACAAAATCGGGATCGTACAACATTTTTTCTCTATCCCAATTTTTGTATTTTTAAGATTAATATAAAAATCGGGAACGCATCCCTTGGTGACGCTCAACGTGGCACGGTGCATGCGGGAAGTGCAGCACCCGGCAGCGTGTTGGTCAGAGGTCACTTGAAGGTCCCCGTCTCGTTTGTTCCGTCTCGTTTGTACCACTAGTTCAGGCCGATGCGTGTTGTGGACAAGGCGGGGAGCATCGCATGTGCAATGTGTTGGGCACATGGCCTGGGTGCAGGCTTATGGATGGGAGTCGTGCCTTCCTGCTGTTTTTGAGCAGCTCGCCTCTGCGTGTGGTGAAATCACCCGCGCCGCCACGTGTGTCGTTAGTCATTGTTAAACGATAACCGGTCACCGTTTTCAAAATCGGTTACCAGTTCCAGCGGGATTTTGATTTAAGCTTGCACCATTGCTTCATCTGCCGCGTGGGGGAGGTGGAATCAAGCCTGCGAGCTCTCGATTGCAAGTCCAGCGCACTGCTGGCCATGACCCTACCGTGGCAGCTCCCCCCTTCTCTCAGTCACCTAAACACATCGTGTTTATTGCTCTAGATGTTTCTGTCTGTACAGCACGGGTCACCAGGGTTTTACCAGTTTTCTCTTGCGGTCACCGGTTATGACAAGGACCCTGGTTGTTGCATCTACTCATCCGCTAACCTTCACTTGTGCCGTCGGGCAGGCCCAGCTGCGGGCCTTCATCCCCGAGATGCTGAAGTTCTCGACGAGCCGCGGGAAGCCGGGCTGGGGCAAGGAGACGTGCAGGCCCATGTGGTGGCCGCCCGAGGTGCCGTGGGCCAACGTGCGGTCGGACGTGCGCTCGGAGGACCAGAAGCAGAGGGTGCGGAATTGTCACTGTTGCTGTTCACTCGCCCGCGCGTTCATAATGTTCGGCAAATTACTCAAGCGATGGACATGCTACCGTTCGGCCATAGCGCCACGCCAATGGGGGCTGCTAGGCCTTGGCACCGCCTCGCTGAGGGCCATTCATATATATGTTGAACTTAATAGGTTCAACTTCTTTCACACGGTGCATAGCCAGCCGTGCTAATCTGAGGTGCGGGGGAAGGACAACAAACTAAACACAAACGGCAGTTCTAAAGAAATAAGTTTTCCAATCTAGATTATTTAAAGTGCGTAGCTCCAGTGGCTTCCGAATACCGGAAGGAAAACCGTTCCAGGCGACCGCAGAAGCACATGATTAAGCCATGGTACTGCCTCATTGAGGGTGATGACTTGGCTGAGCGGTAGCGCCTCTTGTTGCAGAGGGATAATAGTTCGAATGCAGCGGCAGCCCTGATTAATTCTGTGGTGTGTACTAAACGTGTTAATCGGAGGTTCGGGAGAAGGTCAGCAAAAAACACAAAAAGCACTTCTTAAGAAATTCGTTTTTAATCTAGATTTAAAGCACACAGCGTGTGCGGACATTAAAGATCCCATGACATTCGCAAGGGTAGGCCATTGTGTACCGGCGTCACGGTCCAAATTTTCCAAATGACAAAATTGCCCGCAAATCACGCGATGGGGATTACACGCACACAGCAGCAATCATCGCCCCCCCCCCCACTCCTACTGCAGGACCCTCCTGAAAAAGAGTCACAAGACTCGGTGAGGCTTTCCTGGGTCAACAAGCAAAATAACAATATTAACGATGACTGGTGCCCGTCCCCCACCAATGGCGCGCAGGTGTCGTGGACGCACGCCCTGCGCACCGTGGTGAAGAACTGCTACAAGCACCACGGGCGCGAGGACCTGCTCTACGCCTTCGACGAGTCGGCGCTGGCCACGCTGACAACGCCGCACGGCGCCGGGGCCGCCTCGCACACGCTCACCGCGCAGCTCGTGCACCCGCAGGCCATGGTGCAGGCCATCAGCCCCGACGGCGTCGTCTCGCTCATCCAGGTATGCCGTAGCGGTCACCCCCGGGAGCCCCATGTGGTTCGAGGGGTCGGCACCACCCGACGTTGCAAATGCTACCAGGGTGCCGGCCGCGCCTGTTGTCATCACCGCGGGTGGTTTTCGCCACGGCAGCATTGTCAACTATTGCCATCCTGGGCGGTAGAGCCGAGACATTTTTGGGCGACGGTCTGCTTCGCCCCTGCACAGCGCAAGACAAAGGCGGCCAGCGGATTTACAGGGGCCCTTGACTGCCTCTGCTGCAAACTTGTAGTCAATCGGCCAGAGCAGAATTCGATACCACTCGTGGTGGCAGATATTTAGTGATGCCAGTTTGTTTTCGTGGCTGATAGAGGCGGATTGTGTGCGAACGTGATTACTGCTCGATGTTTCTGCGGCATTCACTTTGATTAGATATTTAAGAGAATATTTAAGGATGTTGGTACAACTCATGTGTTGCCGACAAAGTGGCACCAACAAGTAGATTGTTTGGTCCGGACCCATTGACTATAAAAGCACATTTCGTCACATCCCATCTCAGACGATTCCGTGCGCCGCTTCTGTCTCGCCAAGGGGAGCTCCTCAACGGCAGCCGCCCCTGTGCAGCACTCGGCGTTATTCTAATCACGGTCGCTGAGCACAGGCTCAAAAATGTCAATTTGTCAGCAACAAATAGCACTATTGAAGGAGTAATAGTTTGTCTGTTTTTTTGCCATTGCGTCTCTCTGTGTCTCTGTGTGTGCCTGCACCTCTGGTTCTCTGTGTCTGTCTCTTTATGCATGTCTCTCTGTGCCATCACATGTCTCTGCACGTTGGCCTCTCTGTGCATTTGTCTAATTGCGCCTGTCTCTCCGTGTGTCTCGGGTCTCTCTGTGTGCCATCATATGTCTCATCGTCTCTGTGACCGTACAGGTGGACGCTGGCACGGCTGCTGCCCTGGCGGAGAGTGGGGAGCTGCCCCAGACGGTGACGGTCACCCAGGTCTCCTACCCTCCCAACTGCTCCGACGGGGAGGTGAGCTCCCAGTGGCATCTCCATCCTGGGCACTGATCAGCAGCAGCAGATTGTAACTACAGGCAGACCTCGCCCAACGCGGGGGTTGCGTTGCCGGAAAATTTCGCGTTGGGGCGAAACATGCATTCATTGAAGCCGTGATGGGCAAAGGTTTTCCTCTACATTTTTATTATTTAAGAGTTTTTTTGGTAGAGCCACCCAGATTTACGTCAGGGCATCTTGGCAGTGCCTCACGCGCAAATAAGTGACTTGCTCATCTCAACGCAGGTGCAGCCCCAGTGGCAGCTGTCTCTCTGCGGCACAAGTTGTCTCGACAACTGTCCTGCAAGCGGGCACCGCCACTCTGATTGTTGCGTGTTTTCCAATCGCGAAATTCGCGGTATGATTTTTCGAATGACGTCACGCGTTTCGTCAACGTGCACCGTGAAGCAGGCGGCGCGAAGTTTTATTTACGTTTAGCGCACTGCAGTAATAACCATGGCGGCCTGCCGGACGAGAACCGCGAGCCTCTGCAACAAGCGGCGATTGCGCAACTGCTGGGCCACATCAGCAACTGTCGCTTTTAACTAAAATAATGACGCAATATTTTGTGTGTGTTTGGCTTGTCCTCCTTCCCCCGCAACCTCCGATTGAGCACGGTTGGCTACGTACGATGCGAAAGATGTTCAGCATACATTCACATACGTGCTGTGTGCGCAGTTTCTGTAGATTCGGAGAGAAACGATGAAACAGCGGGAAAGGCAGCCAGAGCCGTCGCCAACAACCTCTCGCGGTCCAATATTGGGATGTTTTATCAACTCCATGAAAGAATGTTTATACATGTGAGAGGAAACCGCGGCGGGTAGGCAACAACCCCAATCCCCGTCCCGTTGGAAATTAACTCACTTGCTGTACTACCATACCCCGCGCGCGCCAGCAGGTGGCGACCTTGCAGCGCAGAGGGTTTGGCGAATTTCTCAAAGTCGTGTGATCCGCACAAACCCCGGCTGTTGCCGTCACAGTACGGAGCTACAGGCCCTGTGCAGCAGAGCCACCGGCGCTCGGGCAGAAATCATTGAGGCTTGCAGTGAGGGGTGCCGTGCCTCCGCGCCTGTGCAGTCTCCACGCTCGCTTGCACTGCTTCTCCGCAAAGCGAGAATCCCCAGGACAGGGCACGTCGTGGCCATGAGGGTTTGTGGTGAAGACGAATGACACAGTGGTCGGCAACGGAGGGAAAAGCGCCTGGGAATGCGTCCCAGCGCGAGGAAGGGGCGATGGGATCAGCCCGTGGGTTAGGAGAGGGGCATAACGGTTGGCGAGATGCTAACGGCCTCGCCGAGTGCGCTAGAGGTCGTGGGTTGGATCCTGACGCACTGTACAGGGTGCTTCAAACAAATGTTAATACTTATATGGGGCTATCGTTTGTTCTGGAAAAAGAACGGATAACACACGGTGACATGATAACAAATGTACGTTAATTGCATCAAAAAGTCAAAGAGTCTCCCACGTGTTCTCCATCGTTGTCAACGCGTGCCTGGAATCTTCTCCAGGTGGTCTCCAGGGCCCGGAGGCAGCAGCACATTTCTTGTGGTCTTGTTGCAAATTCTCAAAAGTGTTAACGTCGTTTTTGAATCGCCCTGTATATTTCGAGTTTGCCTGTTCCTCTCTGTGGTCGTGTGGACTTTGTTTCCAGGTCCTCCGGATTTTCCCTCCACATTTAGAAATATGCGTTTCAAAGTATTTGGCTGCTATAAGTTTCCACATCATAAGCCACTTTTTGTTGAGCGTTCATTTGTGGCCAGGTCACTTCCGAAAAAGAGCTCAGTGGGCCTTACCTGGTAAAATGAAAATATAAGAATAGAAATATGAGATGGATTGTGACACCACAATTCCAGGAGAGATGGTGACGGCTTTGTGTGTTGGTTGGAGGTGGGTGGGTAGGCGGGCTGGCGGACAGAGGCCTTCATCCAGCAGTAGATAGATCACGGCGGACACTGACGACGCCGATGGTGTGTGCCGCGACCAGGTGGGGCGCGACTGGACGACGCTTCACAACGCCGAGATGACGCTTCACGCCTCGCAGGACGCGTCGCATGCCGTGGCCACCCTCGCCGAGGTGGCGGCCGCCTCGCAGCGCGGCGACGGCGGCCGCCACCCCACCACCGTAACCATGGCAATTAACAGGTGCGCGTCCGGGTGTGTGTCTGGTGCCCGTGTGTGGGCCGTGTATTGGCGGAGTTTTGCCGGGCGGTTTGCGAGCGTGCTCTTGTTTGCTGACACGGGGTGGTTGTAGTGGTTGCAGTGGTTGTTGTGCTTGTGACCCTACAGTGACGACGGGGCGGTTGTAGTGGTTGTTGTGACGGTGTGTTCTGTCTGATTGTTGTGGCCGCGGCGATGCAGTGACGGCGTGGTGCACGCCGTCACGACGCTCTCGGAGGCGTCGCTGCAGGACGGGCAGCTCGTGCTGTCGGGAGACGGGACCACGCTCACCACCGTGCACCACCACAACGGTGAGAGCCACGCTCACCGCACCCACCGCGCCCGCCGCACGCCACGATAACCCCCCACGCCGCTCATTGCGCTCGCGAAGCGTGCCGCGCTCACCGTGCCTCTCCGTGCCCTGTCCCCGTTTCCCCTGTGGTCCCCTGCATCTCCCTGCGTCTCGCTGTGTCTCCCTGCGTCTCGCTGTGTCTCACTGTGTCTCCCTGCATCTCCCTGCGTCTCACTGTGTCTCCCTGCGTCTCGCTGTGTCTCGCTGTGTCTCGCTGTGTCTCGCTGCGTCTCGCTGCGTCTCCACACCCCCCCCCCCCCCGTGCATCCCGTGTCTCACTGCGTTCCCCCCCACCCCCCGCGTGTCCCCGTAGGCATCCCGATCCCCGTGAGCGTGTACCCGACGATGTTGGGCGGCCACGCCGTCACCGTGACGCCCGTCTCCACGGCGCACGGCGACGTCGCCATGGAAACCTTCACCGTGACGCCCGTCACCTCGGTGCTGTCGTCCAGCGGCGAGTCTATCACCATGGAAACCAGCTCATCGACCAAGATCTCCATGGTTACGCCCAGCATGGAGATCGTGAGTCTGAGGCCGACTTAGCTCTACGTGGAGACGCGTGGGATTCGTCCAAGCGAAATGGGAAAGGAAACCGTGAAGGTGAAAGGGAAATGGAATTTTGAATCGAATGGACTCAGTCGCTCGACTTCCCGGCACAAGAGACTCTACCAGATCATGTGTGTGCGTACGTGTATGTGTGTGTGCACGCAGCCTCAGTCTGTTCATCCGCACAAAGCCAAGAAGTTTTTCCTCGCCGCCACGCTTCCAAATTTGACAACAAAAAAAAGTCTACAAAAATAAAAAGCTGAGACTTCCGAGTGAATTGCGCGCGGCACGAAAAACATTTTGTCCGGAGAGATTTTCCGCCCAAAGCAAACGGTGAACATGAGTTTTGCGAAATGGAACATGGACTCCGAACGGACGTTGATTTTGGCATTCATATGTTTGTTTATTTCCGCGCAATATGCAAGGGGGGGCGGTGAAGCAGAGCACGGCGGAGAGCCGATCATCCAGCGGCCGCCACACGCTCCGACTCTGGACTCAGAACTCATCATAATTAATTATTACGTTAGGGTGGGGGGTGGGGGATGCTCCCCCCCCCCCCCACCGCACACGTGACCCCCCCCACCTCCATATTTAATGAAGTTCCAGAGCAAAAAAATCTGGGGGCGAGGAGGCAGGGACTTTCTCTCCTGCACCTGCGGTGTAACCCATAAGGTCCAGCGAGATCGCATTGGACATTGCCGATTTGACGATCTCGCTTGGCGCCTCCGAGCGTTTGACACAAACGTACGCGGGCGGGGAGATGGGCTCCCCTCAGACCCCCGCGACACACGCAACCCAGGACCCCCCCCCCTCCACGCAAGTAGGACCGCTTGCGTGGGGGGGGAGGGTGGTAGGCGGGCGGCGGGGGATGGAGTGACGTGGGCGGCCACGCTCGCCCTGGCGCCCGTCCGTAGCCCGCGGCCGGCGCCGCGTGTCGCTGTAAATGTTTTGCTCGATCGATGCGTTGTGTACAGTCCCTTCTCCCCGTTATTCGGTCTCTCTCTCTCTCTCTGTGTAACATAGTCCGGTGACGTACGTCTTTTGTAGGTTTATTTTATTATTGTTGTTAATATTGATGATGATAATAAGAATTTTGTTATTGTTTACTTTGCGTTTTTCGTGTCATTTTTAAACTAGCAATTCACGTGAATTATACATGTTTATAAAAAAAAAACCTGTCCCCCTGTCTTTTGCAAACCATTGTATGCCCAACATAAAATAGAAGCGTTTTTTTTTCTTTTACATCGTTGAGGCGTCAGCTCACCGCACCTGTCAGCTCTGCCTTTTCCGTCGTCGCCACCACCATCGTCATCATCCACGTGCTATCCACTGCTGGGTGAAGGCCCGCCTCCGTCACCATTCCTCACGCGCTTGCGATGCTGTGATCCATCTCCTGCGTGCGAGCCGATCTCGTGGCTCCCATCTCCGCCCTGGTCGGTCTCTCGGGCCGTGGCAACACCCCTTCTTGGGTTGCCGTTCCGTCGCCAGCCTTGTCCGCCGACCGCCGCACCCTTACTCGTAATGCGCTCCATTGCGGCCCACTTTGCTTCGTAACGGCGCAAGCCAATTCTCCTCCTACCCATATCTGTCCCTTCGCGTAAAAAAAATATTAAGTATTTATGACGTGTCGCATTGGCCGCACGGCCTTCTGGGAGTGCGTGAATTTGAGCAGCGTTGGTTGAGTTGAACTAGGACCTTGCCGATAAAACATCTGGCGGATCACCAGCATTGGTTCAAGCCAAGCCTGACTGCTGCTGAGACCCTCCCGACGACAACGGTTTTGCTCGTGTTGAACCGCTGCTGCCGAAATTATGGACTCCCAGAAGGCTGTGTTGGCTGATGGGGATGTGTAATAACAAACAAACGTGGAGCGACAGGTATGGAAATGAGAATTGGAGGCTTATTTATTTTGTTATTTATATTCTCCACAACTTAACGCTAATTATTATTTTGCACTTTCCTTCACATTCGCTATGATGTCTCTCATTTGCATTCTCCAAATTTTTGAAACCCCCTCCCCTTTCATCCCTGCTACTTTTACCGACCGTTACATTAAAGTTCCCCGGTACGATGTGGTGTGGGTTGCCCTTATTTATGCGAGCTTTCACTTCTTCTCGCATTGCGTTTACCTCTTCATCAGCGACGCTCGTCGTCGGAGCGTTTGCCTGAATTATCTTGAAACTTCAGAACCTGGGTGTCATCCGTGCGGGAACACTTGATTCCCAGAGACTAACACTCTTGCTCTATTACTCGCTCTCGACTCTCCCTCTGCAACAGATGTGGCACTCTCCCCCCATTCATCGAGCCGGTACAGAGACCCGCAGAGATCCACAGAGCCCCACGGACTCGCACAGAAGCCCACAGACTCCCTCGGACTGCCCTATAGACTCGCACAGAAGCCCACAGGCTCACACTGCGACCCATACACAGAAGCTCATGCACCCACAACTGACACCCATCGATTCGCACAGAAGGCCTACATGACACTCGCACAGAGCCCCCCATAGACTCGCACGGAAGGCCATAACGCCCACAACTGAGACCCATCCATGTGCCCTCAGGCTCCCCGCCATCTGCTCGTCGGCTCTTCCCTTCCCCCTCGGCGGCCGGATTCGTGGAGACCGCTCCGATGTCGCCCACCCAGCGCCGCCGTGACTCGCCCGACCGCACCCGCGGCCCTCGCCCGCCACGTGCCCGTTTAAATAATTATCGCCGTGGCAGTTCTGGGTCGCATGTGCAGGGGGACTCCTCTACTTACAAACGAGTTAGGCTCCAGAGGTCTGTTCGTGTGCGCGTTCGTAATTCCGAACACGTATGGCATGTACACTGAACATGGGAAATGGCTTTCAAAGTTGTATAACCTGTAGATGTGGATGCCACTGTTTTTTGATGTTCTGCAGATGTAGAAGATGCCACCACCGCCATCTATTGCGCGGGATGGTTGATTTTACGACTCTCAGTCCGAACGGGCGACTGTTTGTTCGTATCTCTGACAGTTCGTAAGTCGATTGATCGTAATTAGAGGAGTCCCTGTGTTGGAACTTCTTTCGCGCCGTACGTAGCCAGCCGTGCTAATCGCAGGCGAGGATTCTTAACCCTTAGCGTGATACACGGGACGACACCGGCATTCCATTTGTTCAATGTTTATTTCACATCAATAGGAAACGCGTAAGGAGAACGAACGCCGAGACCTGGCTTAGTGGCTCGCTCGCTTGTGCGGCTGGCTGTGTATTTGCGTTTTCCCCGCAGTTCTATTCACGGATTGTCGCAGAGAGAACGCAAACGTTACCTCGTTTAAAGAGCGAAATCATTTATGGCGGAAATTAGTTAGGGGTTTCTTTTTATTGTTTGTTGCAAATGACATTAGACGGAAATGGATCTCGTGTTTCTTACGGCTGACAACACTTGCAGCAACTTGCAATGTTTGGATCAATTCTTTCCGACGCTTGCTCATGGCAGCGGCAGTAACAGCATGGTTCGGGAGCTCGATGCCAGTATCGAGATCTGCTCGCCACGACGAGAGGGCTTCAGGGGAGAGAGAGCTCGTGGCCTCAATCGCCTTCATTTTAAATACATTTTTACGTGAGCTCACCTCCTTTACCAACACCGCCGCGCTTACAACAGAGCAACTGGTAGTTAGCCGACGTTCCGGGCACGGGCCCTCCTTAAGAGCAAAGAGAAAGCATAAATATAGCCGGGCGGCGATGGCTATTAGCGCACGTGGCCGCCTGCAATCCGGCGCTGTGGAGGCGACAAGGGTTGGTGGATCACGCACAGATGGTGTTAAACTCCCTTCCCGTGGGGGTCGAGGAGGAGCCGTTCCCTGGCTCTGGCAGGAAAAGGGTCTTCTCCACCTGCTACGTCTCTACGGGATAGAGTGTTTTGCCCTCGCACGCCTGAGTGTTTTTTTCCCTTCTCTCCGGGTGCTCCGGTTTCCTTTGACGTGTAAGACGACTCATTAATTGGCTCATCTTTATATGGAGAGGACCGCGAAAATCCGGGGAGGAATTTGGTTCCGGCTCACCACCCATTTGCTGTCTTCGCGCCTGTCCGGGGTTCCTCCTCACACGCCTCGAGTCACTCTCTGCAAGAACGAGCGAATACCGTGCGGGTTCCAAGTTTGAATTATTATTATCATCATCATTGAAGTTTGACTCGTACCCGATCGAGTTAGCACCAAACGTCTTCTCTTCCCTAGGGATGAAAGCAGGTCCTGGCGAAATCCCTCTTAAAATTTGGGATTTAATATGAACCGTAACTTTAGTCAAATATTTCACGTGGAAAATGGGCCTCTGTGTGAGCCTGTGGGTATATGGGTCTCTGTGGGTATATGGGTCTGTGCGAGTCTATGGGTCTCTGTGGGTATATGGGTCTGTGTGGGTCTGTGCGAGTCTATGGGTCTCTGTGGGTATATGGGTCTGTGAGTCTATGGGTCTCTATGTGAGTGTGGGTCTCTGTGGGTATATGGGTCTGTGGGTATATCTGTGTGTATGGGTCTCTGTGTGAGTCTATGGGTCTCTGTGCAAGTGTGGGTGTCTGTGGGTAATTGGGTATTTGTGTGAGTTTATGGGTCTGTGTGAGTCTATGGGTCTGTGCGAGTATGTGGGTCTCTGTGTGAGTATGTGGGTCTCCGTGTGGGTCTGTGCGAGTCTATTGATCTCTGGTTTATGCATGTACTCTATGTTAAACTTCTTTCGCACCGTGCGGTTTAATCACGGGCAGCGGCTGAAATCCGGATTAGAACTCCGGGTCCTCGGCGGTGCCGCTCAGCGTCTCTGTCCTCAAGAGCCATCCGGCCTCCTCGCCCCTCGCCGGATTTAAACCCGCTTAGTTGAGGCCACGAGCGGATTAACGTAGTTTGGGTTGGATGAGCGCACGCAGTGAACGCAGATGCACCGAGCGCAGCGCTCATGGACGCATTTGCGTGCGAGAACGCGCGAATGTCACGCCACAGAATGGGCAGGCGACATCGTCTCCGTCATCCCATGTCCGACCCTGCCACGGAACAAGTCCAAGTTTGTTTAACGCATCCCACCCGGCCACGCACGGCCCCGTGTGTGGAAGTGCACAATATCAGCGGCGTTGTTTCAACACGAGCAAAACACCCGACCAAAGGCTGAATGTCGAAACCGGTCCAGAGATTTTGCTGCTGAAATACAGGGCGCTTCAAAAAAAGAAAATGTTTAACACTTCTGGGAAATTTGCAACACTAGCACGAGAAATGCGCCTCCCCCGGGGCTCTGCAGATCACCTGGAGAAGATTCCAGGCACGCGTTGACAATTATGGCGAGCAAAGTGGGAGACTTTCTAAACTATTAACATGACATTTGTTATCATGTTCCATTTAAAAACGATAGTCCCGTATAAGTGTTAACATTTTTTTTTAAATACCCTGTAAATTGTACATATCCGGAAAGCTGTGTGGCCGATGAGATGCGTAAAATATATATACTTTTTTAAAGTGCAGAGATAGGTATGGAAAAGTTGAACGTGTGTGCACGCGCGCCTCGCTAAGAACCCGGCGACACGAGTTCGATTCCCGCTCAGGACCAACACCCAGTGACGATTATCTGAACCGGTGCTGGGCCTCCCCTAGGTCGACTCAGCCTCAAATGAGTACCTGGTGCAGTGTGTTAAACATCGCCACTGGGGAGACAAAGGCGGCCTCGGAGTGGTGCCGACCACCCCCCCCCCCCCCCACCACGCGTGCCGTGCCAGCCTAAATAGGTTCCTCGCTCACAGCAACTTGCCCCAACATTCTGTTTAAGGCGACACACGGGTGGTGGTGGTGGGTTTTTTGTTGTGTGCGAGTGTTGCCATTACTCGCTGGGCAAGCCGCGTGACACGGCAACGTGAGACGGGAGCGCTGTACACAAACAGCTGTGCGTGTCGCCTGCTGTCTTTGCCGATACAGCTGGCCAGGCGAGGCACGTGCCGGCGGCGAACCGGTGGGGAGCGGTGGCGCAGCGGTTAGCGCTGCGCCGCGGATGCGGTCGAGCCGAGTTCCGATTCCCGCTCATGGCTTACCGACGGCCGGTGGCGAATTATCTGAAGCGGCCTTGGGCCCTCCCACTAGGTCGACTCGGCCTCGACGGAGCTCCTGGCGCGGTGTGCAAACATCGTCACTGGGGAGACAAAGGCGGCCTCGGAGTGGTGCTGGCCACCCACGCGTGCCGTGCCCGGCCTTCATAGGTGCCTCTCGCTATCGGCAACTTGCCCCAACAGTCTCTTAGGGCTACACGTGGGATCTTTGTCTTTTGTGTGGAGCGGTGGTGCAGCGGAACCCGACGACACGAGTTCGATTGCCCGCTCACGACCACCAGCGACGAATATAAGACGCGACCCCCCCCCCCCCCCTATTAAAAACGCAACCCTGGTGCCATGTGAGAAGCATTGGGGATACGAAGACGACCGGGCGTGGTTTATATTCCCCCTGGCCAACCACGCCTCGGTTTTAGCCGTGCCCGGCCTCGCGAAGCAGCACTTTGCCCCCCTAGGGGCTGCTGTCGGTGTCTACACGCGAGCGTCTTTGTCTCTCTCCGCGGAGCGGGTTGCGTTCGCGGAGGAAGAGGAGCGCGTGAAGGAGGCCGCTCGAGGCAGTGGCCTCGCGTGCGCGTCCCTCTGATATCCGATCTGTGTGCGAGTGTGTGAACACCATTGTCTCTGCGTGTGTGTGTACACTGTTACGTGTGTGTGTGTACACTGTTACGTGTGTGTACACCATTCTCTGTGTACACTATTCTGTGTGTGTACACCTTTGTGTGTGTACACCATTGTCTGTGTGTGTACACTGTTACGTGTGTGTACACCATTCTCTGTGTACACTATTCTGTGTGTACACCATTGTGTGTGTACACAATTTTCTGTGTGTACACTTACGTGTGTGTGTGTATACCTTCTCTGTGTACACTATTCTGTGTGTACACCATTGTGTGTGTACACAATTCTGTGTACACCGTTATGTGTGTGTACACTTATTTGTGTGTGTACACTGTTACGTGTGTGTACACCATTCTCTGTGTACACCATTGTGTGTACACCATTCTCTGTGTGTGTACACTGTTACGTGTGTGTGTACACCATTCTCTGTGTGTACACTTACGTGTGTGTATGTGTGTACACCGTTATGTGTGTGTACACTGTTGTGTGTGTACAATATTCTCTGTGTGTGTACACTTACGTGTGTGTGAGCGTGGGCACACCATGCTCTGTGTGAGTGTACACTGTAAAGTATGTGTGTACACCATTTCTCTGTCTGTGTGTGTACACTTACGTGTGTGTACACTATTCTGTGTGTACACTATTATGTGTGTACGCTATTATGTTTGTTAGTATGTACACTATTCTGTGTGTGTACACCATTCTGTGTGTACACCATTCTGTGTGTGTACACACCATCCTGTGTGTACACTATTCTGCGTGTGTACACTATTCTGTGTGTACACTATTCTGCGTGTCTACACTATTCTACGTGTGTACACTATTATGTGTGCACACTATTCTGTGTGTGTACACTATTCTACGTGTGTACACTATTCTACGTGTGTACACTATTCTGTGTGTGTACACTATTCTACGTGTGTGTACACTATTCTACGTGTGTGTACACTATTCTACGTGTGTGTACACTATTCTGCGTGTGTACACTATTCTACGTGTGTACACTATTCTACGTGTGTGTACACTATTCTGTGTGTGTACACTATTCTACGTGTGTGTACACTATTCTACGTGTGTACACTATTCTGTGTGTGTACACTATTCTACGTGTGTACACTATTCTGTGTGTGTACACTATTCTACGTGTGTGTACACTATTCTACGTGTGTGTACACTATTCTGTGTGTGTACACTATTCTACGTGTGTACACTATTCTACGTGTGTGTACACTATTCTGTGTGTACACTATTCTGTGTGTGTACACTATTCTGTGTGTACACTATTCTGTGACTATAAGACGCTCCGGACCGTCTGATGAAGACCGCTTGTGTTGCGATCGAAACGCCGTGGGTTTTTTGCTTTTATTATTTTCAATTTATTATTTTTCATTTCATTTTATTATCTGTTATTTTAATTTAATTTTTTATCTACGTGACTTGACCGAAAGAACCAATAATATGTTTAATTTCACCAGGTAAGGCCCACTGAGCGATACAGCTCTTGTTCATAAGCGACCTGGCGACCACAAATGACAGCTCAAAGTTGCTCATCATCACGTGGACAATCATAGCGGTAGCCACGGACTCGAAACGCACCTTGATTCTAAACACTAAAAATCACTCGTCACACCCCCTCCCTCGTCACACCCCCTCCTCCCTCTCCCTCCCTCCCCGCCTCCTGCCCCCTCCCTCCCCCCTTCCACCTCCACCCTTCCACCTCCACCCTCCCCCCTTCCACCTCCACCCTCCCCCCTTCCACCTCCACCCTCCCCCCTTCCACCTCCACCCTCCCCCCTTCCACCTCCACCCTCCCCCCTTCCACCTCCACCTCCCCCCTTCCACCTCCACCCTCCCCCCTTCCACCTCCACCCTCCCCCCTTCCACCTCCACCCTCCCCCCTTCCACCTCCACCCTCCCCCCTTCCACCTCCACCCTCCCACCTCCCACCTCCACCTCCTCCCTCTTCCTCCCCCCTCCTCCTCCTCCCCCCTCCTCCTCCCCCCTCCTCCTCCCCCCTCCTCCTCCCCCCTCCTCCTCCCCCCCTCTTCCTCCCCCCTCCTCCTCCTCCTCCCCCCTCCTCCTCCTCCTCCCCCTCTCCTCCCCCCCATCCCGAGGTTGACGTGAATGTGCAGGTGGTGGTGGTGGTGGCCGCCGCCGCCGCCTGTGACCCTGGCGGGCCTCGCGTGGCGAGGGCGCAGCGCGCGGAGTCCGAGTCAGGGTGAGAGGCGCTCTCGGGTTCCCAGAGCTCAGTTAAATATTCATTAGTGGAGTGGAGTGGGGAGGGGGGAGCGCGGGTGGGGTGGATGGATTGAGATGGGATCGGTTTCGGAGCCCCGCGGGCATTTTGAGCTGCGAGTCACACTCCATGCAGCAGCGCAGGGAGTAGGATGGGGTGGTTGCGAATAGCCACGTGGTGGGAGCAGCGGTGTGGTGATGGGTGGGACGCGTGGTGTGGAGGGTGGAGGAGGAGGGCAGGTGACCGTGTCGGGCATGGGAGTGGCACCCATGGGTTTCGGTGATCCAGGGGAAGAGAAGAGCGAAAGCAGACAGACGGTGGCGCTGACGACGCTGATGATGCCGATGGCCATGCTTCATGCTGAGACGGAGTCGCTGGCTTGGTTCTTGTAAAGATTTTGGGATTACGAGGAATGATGGAGGGAGGATTGAGGAAGAGAGGGAGGGATAGATTGGGGCGAGGGGGGGGTATGGAGACTCAGGGAGGGAGAGTGGAGGGCGAGGGGTCGTCTGGGTCGGAGAGTGAACACGGAGGCTGTTGGAGTCGATGGTGCTGCGCTGGGAGCCGGAGCGAGTCTCCCAACCAGCCCCTCTTACCCCGTGGGGCGCGGCTCCCTGCTCACGAGGGGAGGGAGCCAGGGCAGTGAGTAGGGGATCACTGCTCACTAGGGAGGGAGCCAGGGCAGTGAGTAGGGGGTCGCTGCTGACGAGAGGAGGGAGCCAGGGCAGTGAGTAGGGGGTCGCTGATCACGAGGGAGCCAGGGCAGTGAGTAGGGGATCACTGCTGACGAGGGGAGGGAGCCAGGGCAGTGCGTAGGGGGTCGCTGATCACGAGGGAACCAGGGCAGTGAGTAGGGGATCGCTGATCACGAGGGAGGGAGCCAGGGCAGTGAGTAGGGGATCACTGCTCACTAGGGAGGGAGCCAGGGCAGTGAGTAGGGGGTCGCTGCTGACGAGGGGAGGGAGCCAGGGCAGTGAGTAGGGGATCACTGCTCACGAGGGAGGGAGCCAGGGCAGTGAGTAGGGGATCACTGATCACTAGGGGAGGGAGTCAGGGCAGTGAGTAGGGGGTCGCTGCTGACGGGGGGAGGGAGCCAGGGCAGTGAGTAGGGGGTCGCTGCTGACGGGGGAAGGGAGCCAGGGCAGTGAGTAGGGGGTCGTGTGGTGTGGTGTGTGCAACGCTTCCTCCTCCTTGAGGCGAGCCACGAGGGCCGTGTCCCACGTGGCTCTGTGTGGCGCGCGCCTGTGGGGGAGGGGGGGGACACTGGGGAGACAAAGGCGGTCGGGCGTGGTGTTGACCACCCCCTTGGTGCGCCGTGTCGGTCTGTAGTGTGGTGGATGTGATTGTGACGGTGGTTGTGGTGGTGGTGCTGGTTGTGACGGTGCTGGTTGCTGTGGTGCTGGTTTTTGTGGTAGTGGTGGTGCTGGTCGTTCTGGTGGTGGTGATGGTTGTTGTGGCGGTGGTTGTGACCGTTGTGGTGGTTGCTGTGGTGGTGGTCGTTGTGGTCATATTTGTGGCTCTTGTCTTGGTGGTGGTGGTGGTTGTTGTGGTTGCTGTGGTGGTGGTTATGGTGGTGGTTGTTGTGGTTGCTGTGGTGGTTGTTGTTGTGGTTGCTGTGGTGGTGGTTGTTGTTGTGGTTGCTGTGGTTGTTGTTGTGGTTGCTGTGGTGGTGGTTGTTGTTGTGGTTGCTGTGGTTGTGGTGGTGGTTGTTGTGGTTGCTGTGGTGGTGGTGGTTGTTGTTGTGGTTGCTGTGGTTGTGGTGGTGGTTGTTGTGGGTGCTGTGGTGGTGGTGGTTGTTGTTGTGGTTGCTGTGGTGGTGGTGTCCACCGCTCTCGCTGCTGGGGGGCGACTCCCCGCGTGGCACCGCGCACATTTGCTGGGATCCGAACTCACAGAAGCAAATATGTGCAAGTGCCAAACGTGGAGGAACCCGGGGCACGTGTGTGGGGTGTGTGAGATGTGTGGGGTGCGTGAGATGTGTGGTGTGTGTGGTGTGTGCGGTGTGTGGTGTATGTGGTGTGTGTGCTTTGTGTGGTGTGTGTGGGGTGTATGTGTGTAGTGTGTGGTGTGTGTGTGGGGTGTATGTGTGTAGTGTGTGTGCTTTGTGTGGTGTGTGTGTGGGGTGCGTGAGATGTGTGGTGTGTACGGTGCGTGTGTGGGGTGTGTGTGTGAGATGTGTGGTGTGTACGGTGCATGTGTGTGGTGTGTATGTGTGGTGTGTATGTGTGGTGTGTGTGTGGTGTATGTGTGTGGTGTATGTGTGTGGTGTGTGTGTGTGGTGTATATGTGGTGTATGTGTGTGGTGGTGTGTGTGTGTGGTGTATGTGTGGTGTGTATGTGTGGTGTGTGTGGTGTATGTGTGGTGTGTATGTGTGTGGTGTGTATATGTGTGTGGTGTGTATATGTGTGGGGTGTGTATGTGTGGGGTGTGTATGTGTGGGGTGTGTATGTGCGGGGTGTGTATGTGTGGGGTGTGTATGTGTGGGGTGTGTGTGTATTTGGGGTGTGTGTGTATGTTGGGTGTGTGTGTATGTGGGGTGTGTGTGTATGTGGGGTGTGTGTGTATGTGGGGTGTGTATGTGGGTATGTGTGTGGTGTGTATGTGGGGTATGTGTGTGGTGTGTATGTAGTGTGTGTATGTGTGTGGTGTGTGTGGTGTGTGTATGTGTGTGGGGTGTATGTGTGGTGTGTATGTGTGTGGTGTGTGTGTGTGGTGTGTATGTGTGTGGGGTGTATGTGTGTGGTGTGTGTGTGTGGGGTGTATGTGTGTGGTGTGTGTGTGTGTGGGGGTGTATGTGTGTGGTGTGTATGTGTGTGGTGCGTATGTGTGTGGTGTGTGTGGTGTTTGTGTGGTGTATGTGTGGTGTGTGTGTATGGTGTATGTGGTGTGTGTGGTGTGTGTGTGTGTGGTGTGTGTGTGGTGTGTGTGTGGTGTGTGTGGTGTGGTGTATGTGTGTGGTGTATGTATGGTGTGTGTGTGGTGTATGTGTGGTGTATGTATGGTGTGTGTGGTGTGTGTGTGGTGTGTGTGTGGTGTGTGTGTGGTGTGTGTGTGGTGTGTGTGTGGTGTGTGTGTGTATGTGTGGTGTGTGTGGTGTGTGTGGTGTGTGTGTGGTGTATGTGTCGTGTGTGTGGTGTATGTGTGTGGTGTGTGTGTGGTGTGTGTGTGTGGTGTATGTGTTGTGTATGTGTGGTGTGTGTGTGGTGTATGTGTGGTCTATGTGTGGTGTGTGTGTGTGGTGTCATGATCCAAGGCAAAATCCCACAATCCTTTATCAGCCCTGCGTGCCTCTCCATTGACCTTGTGTGTCAGTTGAGGTCAGGCAAGGTCACGGGAGGTCAGGCAAGGTCACGGGTGGTCAGGTTAGCGGGTGACGTTTCCCTGCTCTGTTTATGGCCTCTAGTAATTCACTGAGGTCAGCGGGAACAGTGAATTCTACCAGTGCCATAGACAGGGCAGGCAGCGTGTGAGCGAGCGAGCGAGCGTCTGCCTGCGCGTGTGGGTTGGTGTGCTTGCGGCTCTCCCCTACGTCGACTCGGCCTCCTTAAAGTCGCGTGAATATCGCCACTCGGGAGACAAAGGCGGCTTCGCGTGGCGCTGCCGTAGGTGCTGCTCTTTGTCAGGAGGATGTTGGACTTCTCGCGGGTTGCTCTCAAACATCCGTCGCGGGTGGCAGCCGCGTCACACGGGACGAAGCGTCACACGGGACGAAGCGTCACACGCGGGGCGAAGCGTCACACGGGACGAGGCGTCACACACGGGACACGGCGTCACACGCGGGACGAAGCGTCACACGTGGGACGAAGCGTCACACGGGACACGGCGTCACACGGGGGACGAAGCGTCACACGGGACACGGCGTCACACGAGGGACGAAGCGTCACACGGGACACGGCGTCACACGCGGGACGAAGCGTCACACGCGGGACGAAGCGTCACACGCGGGACGAAGCGTCACACGGGACACGGCGTCACACGCGGGACGAAGCGTCACACGAGGGACGAAGCGTCACACGGGACACGGCGTCACACGCGGGACGAAGCGTCACACACGGGCATCGACAAGAGAAGAGCCAGGCCGTCTGGTTCTGCACTGGAAACCACACAGGCACAAAGACACCCAGACACACACAGAGTGATAGACACACCCAGACACAGAGTGATAGACACACAGACACACACAGAGTGATAGACACACCCAGACACAGAGTGATAGACACACAGACACACACAGAGTGATAGACACACCCAGACACAGAGTGATAGACACACAGACACAGAGTGATAGACACACACACAGAGTGATAGACACACACAGACACAGAGTGATAGACACACACAGACACAGAGTGATAGACAGACACAGAGTGATAGACACACACACAGTGATGGACACACACACAGTGATGGACACACACAGAGTTATAGACACACACACAGTGATGGACACACACAGAGTTATAGACACACACACACAGTGATGGACACACACAGAGTGATAGACACACACAGACACAGAGTGATAGACACACACAGACACAGAGTGATAGACACACACAGACACAGAGTGATAGACACACACACAGTGATGGACACACACACACAGCTTGATAGACACACAGTGATAGACACACACACACAGTGATAGACACACACACAGAGTGATAGACACACACAGACACAAAGACAGAGACATAAACACAAAGACACAGACTTACCCCGCTCCTCATTCTCCTTGCCACCTCTTCCGAGACGTCTGCCTAGCGTGGAGGAGGAGGCCACTTTCCTTCTCCAGGGCTGCCTTCTACCAGCAGCGCATTGCAGGGCATTGCAGGGCGGCGCCTTTAGCCCGCGGAGTCTAGGAGAGCGGGGTAGAGATTTTGGGGGATGTGAGCCCAATATTTGGAATTTCAAAAATCCGTTCGCTACAATAGAGGCTCAGTGTCGGCATTGCACAACACGTGCTTCATGTACCCGCGTGTGTTGCTGTGCAAAAGACAAAGATCGCAAGTGCTGTTAGCCCAGCAGCACCTATGAAGGCCGGCACCACGCCCGGCCGCCTTCGTCTCCCCCCGGCAGCTGCATTTTCACACCGCACCCGGGTACAGTGCTCGTTTTAGGGCCGAGTCGACCTAGGGGAGGTCCACGACCGGTCGAGATGTCCGTCGCTGCTATTGCCCTGCGTGCACGTTGCACTTCTTTCGCGCCGTACGTAGCCAGCGGCGCTCCCATCGGAGGTGTGCAAACATCGCCGGCCGCGAGCGGGAATCGAACTGGGGACGCCGTTTGTTTTTGTTCAGCGTAGCGCGGCGCAGCGCTCACCGCTGCGCCACCGCTCCCCCTGCACGCGGCACTCTGGCACGTGTGCGGGAGGCGGCAAGACTGCGCAGCGATGGGTCGCCAACGCCGCACCTGCTGATCCAGTGGTCAGAATCGGAATCAGAAAGGGGTTTTATTCGCCATGAAAGTTCACACCGACACGGAATTTACTTTGGCAGGATGGTGCATACATTCAACATATAGGAATCTAAAATCTTAAATGAGTTTTTAACAAGTCTTACTGTAATAACAAGGGTTAAAAGTCTAACTATCACCAAGGGGCTGAAGTATATAAAATTGAATAAATATCGAATATAAAATGGCTTTAAGATATAATTTAAAAATAAAAAATACAAATAGGTTAACATAGTTAATATCGGCAAGGTGGTCGCCGGTTCTCTCCCACTCTCTCTCTCCTCTCTGCGTGCGATCGAGCTCGCGGATGAACGTAGCGCGTCCGATTCGAACTCTCGCGGCCGCCCTGGTCAATACCGGGGGAGGTGTCTCGACCATCACACGCCACGCCGCCGTCCATCGCGTGGCGTCACTCTAAAGAGCAAGGCTCCATCGGAGGGCCCACGCCACGGCCCCAAGATGTGACGAAGCGTCGATGATTGACCACCCCCCACCCCCCCCCCCCCCGGGATAATGACTCCGGCCACGAGTGGGGGTGGCAGCGTCGCCCGCGCCCCCACGAACCACGGCGGCGCCTCCGATTAGTAGCGGTTTGCTACGCACGCTACACGGAAGAAGTCCAACGTGTGCACACATACACCACACACACACAGACCCCACACACACACACCCCACACACACACACTGTATACACACATACACCACACACACACACACACACCCCACACACACACCACACAAACACAGACCCCACACACACACACCCCACACACACACCCCACACCGTATACACACATACACCACACACACACACACCCCACACACACACACCCCACACACACACCGTATACACACATACACCACACACACACCACACACACACACACCCCACACACACACCGTATACACACATACACCACACACACACACACACACCCCACACACACACACCGTATACACACATACACCACACACACACACACCCACACACACCACACACCGCGCACACACACCATACACCACACACCCACCGTACACACACCGTACACACACCACGCACACCCCACACACACCACGCACACCCCACACACACCCACCGTACACACACCCCACACACCCCACACACCCCGTACACACACCACACACACACCGTACACACACACCACACACACGTGGCTAGATACCGGATCGTATTTGATGGCGACGAAGGTGATTAGTTGGTGTTGTGTTTGACGACGATTCTCGATTCACCGGACGCCACCATCGCGGTCGATTCTAAGCATCACGGTCGATTCCAGGGGATGTCTCGTCTGCCTGGCCTGGCGCGCAGGAGGAAATTGGGGGTCCGATCCCGGGACCCTGACGATGCCCGTTCAGTATTCGGCGCTCGCGTGATCTCTCGCTCTGCCCGTGGTGGCCCGCGTGAGTCGTTCTCCGGGAACCTCGGGATTGTCGCCCTCCTCCTCCTCCACATTGAGAAGAATGAACACGCGTTTAGCTTATTTGGCTGCTGCTATGAATTCCCACGTCCGACGACGACGATGATGACGATGATGATGGCAGCAGCTTTTCAGCCGAGGTATCATCACGCGTGGCCAGGCACCATTGGAGTACAGCTACTAGCTCGGAGGGCATTGCCTGGTGAATAGCAAAAAAAATAACGGAGTTCTTGAAGAGTGGATCATGGGACCTCCCTCGCCAGTATCAAAATATAATAAAGGGTAACATCTATTCTGGCAATAAAACAGTTGTGTTAAGATGTTAAAACACCAAACTGAAACCTTTTTTGCAAGGAATCGTGTCCGCATTAACCACAGATACTTGTGGTGAGCTTGCAAACACAACAGAAAAAAACAGGCTCTGATAGTCTATGAACCTTATGGCAGTACCACCGGGTAAATAGAACCCCGGCTCTCGCATAATGTCCCCGTGATGCAGTTCATCTTGAGTCTGTTGACGATCGGTGACGCGGCAAATCGACTCATCTCGACGAGCTGTACTCACGATGCACCACCACCACGGTGTGTACCGCGAGCGTTCAGGGTTTCAGCGCAATCGTGCTCGCTGCGTTTCGACATCTCGGAGTGCGGCACCGATTTCGGATTGATTGGTTACCCCAAGTCGCGGAGTGAAGTAACACCCCTGGGAAAAAATCGCGTCCCAAAAATTAAATATTTAATTGCCTCGGCCCATTTTGTATTATTTGGCACCCCGGGGTACCGTCATAAGGATCAGTTGATGCATTGTCTTTGAAACTGATTGGTCCGCACCAGAGACAGCTTTCTTTAGTGCCTCGTCTCAAACAGTGTTAGGCCAGAGGACGCCAGAACGCGAACGGCGCAAGGACAATGCCACTATGAGGACATTGAGAGCTCGGGGTGAGCAGAGTGATGGCACGAGACGATAATGATGATGGTGGTGGTGCCGATTCAGAATGACCTTCCGACAGATTCTACCCTCTTAGTCGATCTGGCACCAAATGCTCGAGTCTGGAAACCTTGACCGTCTCCCCCCGCCCCCCGACTCCCCACTCAGCCGAGGAAGTGAATCCAACTCTGCCCCCCCCTCCCTAGGGAGGGGGTAATTGACTCAGGTTCCGCTAAAGATCGATTAAAAGCAGAGATCTGAACATCGCCCCCCCTCCCCTCCACTTCTATTACCCCCCGCCCCACACCAATAAATCCCGACCCTGGCAAGACGCACACACACACACACGTTTACATAATGACACACTATACACCACAGACACGCGCACGGCTAAAGATCCCCCGTGTAGCTTACGCGGACTGTTGGGCCAAGTGTTGTTGTCGAGCGAGCACTCAAGAAGGCCGGCACGGCCACGCGGGTGTCCGCGTGGCTGGGTGGTCAGCAGCACCACGCCAAGGCCGCCTTTGTGCCCCCAAGCTGATGTTCACAAACCAGCACCGCCTACGCCAGTGGCCCAGGACCGGTTCAGTTAATCGCCGTACGTGTTATCCGCGGCCCGGAATTGAACTTAAGTCGGGGGGGGGGGGGGGGGGGGGGGGGGGGGGGGGGGCAGGCTCATGGGGCGGTGCGCTAACCGCTGGGCATGTACGCACGGGCATAAAGCCGTACACGCTCACAGGGAAACGTTTTGACACTTAGTGTCTCGTCAGCAGAGTCAGGCTCGCTTGAGGGCAATGCTGGTGAGCTGCCGACGTTCAGAGGCAAGGACCCTGCGCCGTTAGGTGCCTAATTCTGCTGATGAAACACTCAAGCGTCGAAACCGGTCCAAAGTGTGGTGCTTGTGTTGAACCAATGCTGCTGAATACATACAACCCCAATCCTCCTCCTTCTCCCCAGAAGTCCGTGTGGCTGATGGCATGTGTAAAATAAAACACTTGTGTTGTTTACGCGGAGGGGCAGATTTTTGGAAGGAAGCGAATTGTCAGATTAGATACTTTGTAGATGTATATTCTCCACAACCAGTCTGATGCATAATCCAGTGTTGCATCCTAATCACGAACAGCGCAGACGGATTTATCCAGCGGTGGAATTCCAGGGTATGTACGGTACATTATTGTTGCCTTTGTCTGCCCGATTGCTGATGTCTTAATATCGCACGTAATACTCGTTCAGGCCCAGTGCCGGATTATCCCAGTTGCAAAAGCAGCTACATATGCTAGGAGCCCCGCACTTTCAAGAGCCCCGCGCTAAATGCTTTCAAGCTATCAATTCCGGTTCAATGATTCTGCACTTGCTCTATTACTATAGTACTATACCGCCTTCAATTTTTATCAACGACTGGGTGTTTAAAGTTGGCGATTTGTCGTATTATCTGGCTGTACAGCAAATGGAAAAATGCAATAATTTTACTATGCAAGTAAACAAATCGTGTTTCAATATTTGTGTTTTTGACATGTGCTACAGGCCCCGCACAAGCTTAATCCGACACTGTTAAGGCTGAGTCGTTCTAGGGGAGGCCCAGGAGCAGGTTCAGATAATCGCCACTAATGTCGACCGCGAGTGCTAAATCGAACTCAGGTCCGCTGGGTTCGTCGCGCGGTGCGCTAACCACTGCGCCTCCGCTCCACAACCCACAGCAACGTGGAATTCCCACCCCTGGCGTTGTACCGCGCTGACAGCGGATGCTGCTGCTGATGATGATGCTGATGATAGAGACAAAAAGATCCCCCGTATAGCCTGCAACAGTACTGTTAGCGAGCACCTATGAAGGCCAGAACGGCACACGAGGGGGTGGGTGGCCAGCACCACGCCCGGCCGCCTTTGTCTCCCCAGTGGCGATGTTTACACACCGCACCAGGTACTCATTTGAGGCTGAGTCGACGTAGGGGAGGCCCAGGACCGGTTCAGATAATCGTCACGGGTGTTGGCCGTGGACAGGAATCGAACCCGGGTCGCCAGGTTCGTAGCGCAGCGCGC